TCCATTAAAATTATAATCCTTATATTTTACCTAAACAGCTCTCTAAGATCAAATGGCAAACAACTGATAGCACGTATGTCTGTTGTATAAAATTGGCATCTGATTTTTAAGTGAAGAAGTAACTATGTACTAGTCCCACATAACCTGAGGTTGTCTGAAAGCTAATACTGGGGTCTGTAGGCCTGCTTTGTAATCATTCAGCGCAGATAGAATTCAAGCCATAGCAATTTAAACAGTCTATCATGCTGTAATGTGTTGCAGCAGGAGAATATTTCACCAGATGTATGACTACAGAAGCATTTGTTTTAAAAGATAATTTTCATCTCTTCCTCATCTTCATGCCTTGGAACAAATCCCTGATTTCTCATTGCTAAATCATGTTCAGTCCCAGGCCTCTTTTCAACATGTTTTTACATTCTACCACCAAGTTAAACATGAGCAGGGAAGGTGATGCAAGAGTGGTTTGCTCTAAAGCTAAAGGTTTGCACTCCAGAGCTAAAATTCAGACTGACAGCTCTCCTTTTGCTATATAGCAATCGGTGCGCCTAAATTAGCATTTACAGTTGAGCCATCATCAATTGCTGCTACCAGAAATTCATATTTAATATTTGTCTTATTGATATTGTCACATCTTCTGGTTACCCATGAATTTGAGTTTAGGATTGCTAATCAGAGGTAGCTTGCCCAAAGCTGGGCAGCAGCTCCTATGTGTACTCACAGGGGCTAGGAATTACTGCTGTATGTTGAGATAAACTGTTGCTGCTGCCCAGCTTTTCAGAGTATCTTATCTCTGTGCAAACCCCGGCTCTCCATTCCAGCTGGATTCTTGGTGGTGGAGGAATCACTGTCCTCTACAGTAGTACAGAACCGATATTTTGCCTCTGAGTGTGTCTGTGACATATTTGTTGGGTCACTTCAGGTGCCATGCAGCAGGTTCCCCCGAGCTTTGAAACTTCCTTGGAAGTATCAACTTGCAGAGAGACTATGTACTAACCTGGTTCTGCAGGAGGCAGCTTTCTGTAGCATCTCTGGACTGGGTCACTACACCTGACTTCATATTCCCTTGTGCTCATCAAGTGAGGATTGCTGCTTGTAGGACTTGAAAGCTGGGATGAAATAATCTCTTTTACCCTTCTCCCAACTCCTGTGTTGGTGAAAAATACAGAAAACTCAAGAAAGTGAGTAATTCAGTATTTTTATCAAATAAAACTTCAGCAATGTGCATCAGATAAAGTGATGGCCCATATAAAATTACTTTATTGGATTCCTTTATCCATTGATTTGATTGTGCTGTGCACTGAGTGGAGACTTTTCCAGAGCAGTGGCAGGTTGTCATCGTAGCACCCATACAGACCTGGCTCAAATTGGGATCAGGGAAGCAAACTTCATTCTTTTACTTCACATAAGCAAGGCGCTGGTTTTTGGAAAGAATTCTCTTGAAGTCAGAGTAGATACACATTTTGGTAGAAACTGGTGAGAGTACTTCAACTGCGGGTGTGCGGGGACACAAAAGCGAGGTTTCTACGTAATCGAGGGCAAAGGCTTATTTACTTAGTGGCTAATGCCACCAGGTGGTTGCGGAGGGGAATCGGCTGAAAGCCGTAAAATGCGGGTTTCTTTTCTCTCTAGATAAACAGATACCGTCGTATAAATACGTTTCAAGGGTTCATTTTTATAAGTGAAATAATACAATGTAAAAGTAGTGAAAGTAGAACGGACTGATGAGAGGAAGAAACACCAAAGGGAAGGATACACAAGGGTATTTCCGGAGGTTAGTGGGATACATGTATCTCTTTGATACATGTATCTATTTTGTATCCATTACTCTATTTCTGCAAAATAGACTAAGTCAGTTGGTAAAACACACAAGTATGAAACCGGAAGCTTAAGGGTGCTACACTGGGACATTTATTTCCTTTTAGATGGTCAGGGTTGTTTCAACGACTCACCATTCCCCTCTCTTTGGGGAAAAAAGGCATATGCAAATTGCTTTGGTAGGAAAAAGTTTTCCGATCTAGTATTATCATTATTATTTCCCTAATACGTATTTAGCTAAGATGATGCTGCTGAAAAGCTTGACAAATCTTGAAAAAAAGTCTGGTCCTGTAAGTGTAGGATGCACAGAAGTGGGGTGAATAAATATGGGTGTCTTCATAGGAGGACCAGTATCCCACATGTATTGGGCCAAATCTAAATGCATTCTTTCTAATGCATATTAAAATATCAAAATAGAAAGGAGCAGTAACAAAAACTTCTTAGATCCAAGCTACCCATCACCAAGACAATCTGATAGGGTTGCAGCCTTTTTGTACATCGCATGATTTAAGCTCAAGTAGTGTTTTACTGAGATAATCTTTCCAGTAATACAGAGAAACCATTTGTCTCGTGCACACATATGCGAACCTTGAGCAAGGACTGACCTACCAAAAGACCACAGTCTTGCTGTGTAGTTAGTTTAATACCTCAGAGGAAAACTGATTACAAGGAACCACATAATAACATGGGGCCTCTTCAGACCTAGCTTCAATGGCTTAGTGTTTTCCATATTACTTTGGGCTTAAAATATAGCACAGTGATCAGTATATACCTTGGACTGTGCAGGATTTCATTTCCAAAATGATATATATTTTACTTAATTGTTTCCTTGGTTCTTAAGCAACAGAAATTCCCCTTTAAGTACATGGCATGAAGCCTCCCTGTTGCTTTCCAAATTATAAGCTTTCACTTACTTCCTTGAGGTTCTGTAACGAACTATGCAAAAAAAGTCATCAGCTTCTTTTCATGTTAGATGTTATTTTGCTTATTTGCCACTTGATGTTGTCATCCTCTGACATAGTTCAATAGCAAATTACATGATTTTATCTCTCTTCAGGCTTGTAGGAAGCTAAAACCCCAACTCCCCAGCCCTCTTGGTCTCTGACTGATACTTTGGTTAAAATAGAAACTAATGCTTTGCAATAATTACAGAATTATTATGAACTATAATTGCAGAACGCTTACAAAGAAGATGCATCTGTGGACTCTTTATGGTTCATATGTCCTAACCATAGAATTCTGGACAGGGTTAGGTTGCAAGGAACCTTAAGCTCACCCAGTTCCAACCCCTGCCACAGGCAGGGACACCTTCCACTAGAGCAGCTTGCTCCAAGCCCCTGTGGCCAACCTGGCCTTGAACACTGCCAGGGATGGGGCAGCCACAGCTTCTCTGGGCACCCCGTGCCAGCGCCTCAGCACCCTCACAGCATTTTATTTCCTTGATATATGTTGGATGTTGATGCTTCACAAGTCAGCATGCAGTACTCTTTCATAGAAATATTTTCATTAAGGCTGTAAAACTTGCTGACAATTTTTCCTTTAAGGAGACCAGTATGATTGAAAAGAGTCCTTCCAGACAGACTGATGATTGCCAGTGCAGGAGGAGTATAAGTACTCATACTACGTACTTAAGAGTAGTTGGTTTTTTTTTTCTTGGTTCTCTTGGTGTTTTCCTGGTTTTCTTGCTTTATAGCCCTACGGCAATAGAGCCAACACCTTCTGAAATAAGAGAAGCTATAAAATGAGAAGCAAACCAGGATTCCCTCCCTTACTTTTCACAGATAAATGTTTTTTTTTCCTTAAGCTCTGATTACAGTTTCCAGCAGGATTGTTGCTTGCATCTTTATCCCTCCTTGTAGGTATTAATGAGGAAATTATGTCTATAAGTATTTTTATATTTCTAACAATGTCTCAGACACTCCTTTTTGTCCATGAGCCAAGACCCTAAGATAAGATCTTAAAAATATTTTGATATCGATTCCATTATAATCTTTGTAAATTAAGAATCTAAAGTTCATCAAGAATGTTGGTCATTCTGGCCATCAGTTTTTGTACTGTAAATGTATGTTTATTAGTATTTGTCATACTAATACTGTATCTGCAAGGAAGGCAGCTTTTAGTCAGCATATGTGAATTAGAAACGCATAAGCACTTAATAAAGCATGGATGTACTTGGGCTTAGAATTCTGTCAAACTCGTATTTTGGGGACTTTGTGAATAACTTGTTATTCATTAAGTTCATAAATTCATTAGTTTATTAATATTCATTCATAAACCTAATTATACAGCCCACTTCCCTCAGCTAGGGGGAAATATCCATATTTCATTTTAAGCTATTGATTATGTGCTGTGTTTCTTCAGGTGCTGTAAACTTAGTTCAGTTGCTGTAAGATTAGTGAAAGTCTGAGCTTCCCGGTTTCATAAGGAAGATAATACAAGTGTAACAGACAAGTCATTTGTATGGTTAGGCAAAGTAGTTCATTATTGTTTTTCATGTTAAATATATCTCATATATACATATTTTATAACCTCTAGGGTTAATACTGCTTTTATAGAAACTGAGAAATCAGTAGAATTCTAACAGAGCATTTGCAAGTTCTGTTATATTTTAGTGGATAAGTGGTTTTAAAGAAAATATGTCTGAGGCAGGACAAAATTCCCATGGTATTTTTATTCAGTAGTTGTCTTTCTGTGCCGATTTATGAGCAATTGAGGACTAGGAACAAGAGGAAATAAAACCAAACTCACAGAAGCCTGTGTAAGTAACTGCAGTTTCAGCCGGTAAAATCCCAGTTACAGCCAGTACTTATTTGCTTTCTCGATAAGAACAACCCGATTTTGCAAGCCTGTGCATGGGAACACCTTTAGGCACACGAATAGCGCTGCACATGAGCTCAGCAAGCGTCTACAAGGCCAATCTCTCAGTAACACCCCCAGCGGCAAGATTCTAGCCGCAAAACCACGACGTTTATCAACACCCCCAGCGTTTGCAGCTTGAGGAGGAACGATGTGTCCTTATCACATGTCAGAGGACCCCAGTTCTCTGGGTGGAGAGGTAGGAGGGAGGCTCTTGCAGAGGAAGGGGCTGGCCCTGCCTGGCCCGCCTCCTTTCCCGTTGCCCTTCCCTGCGGGAGCGGTGTCTGGTGTGAACGGCGTTGTTGTAGCTGCGGGGTGCTGCCCTTAAACTAACCCAGAGAGCGCTCAAAGTGCGGGGACTGTAGGTGTTTCGAAAGCTAGGTGTGCCTAATAGAGTGTCTATAGTAGCTGTGAAGCTTTTAAAGCACCTTTAGAGCTGCCTTGTATGCACGCAGTCCTGAATTGCTTTAGGGAAAATTCTTAAGCCTGCTTGCCTTAATGAGTAAAAGGTAAGCTCTGGCTCATTTTAGCTGGAAACCACCCAGCCATGTTCCACTTGTATATTGTTTGGTTTTTTAATGTTATGTGAATATTGCTTGCTTATTTTGCTTCTTCATCAATGTGTGTAGGGGATAGCTATGTAGTAGCTGTGACAGTTGTATTTACTTATCATTATAGATCAGTCTGTAACTTTCAGTTCTTTATAGAGTTTAAAGTTTGCAGGGTTGCAGCCTTAAAGATTCTGTGCAGAGCAGGTGCCCAATGGAAAGTTAAATAATTAACTGAACAGGGCAAAATCCTTGCCTCTTGTTCATTCTGGTTGGGATATATGGAAAAAAGACAAAATTACCATGTTCCTTTGTAAGATTGCTCATGCTTCTAAAAGTAAAACATGTCTCTGGTAGGGAGTGAATGTGTAACAAGCTTTAAAATTAAGCTGCAATCTTGTACCAACTTCTGCCTTCAGGAAGAAGTTACTAAAAGCTGTGGTTGGGTTTTGTGGTGCTTTTATTATTTCTATAGTTTTTTGACTTTTTTTTCTTAACTGCACCAGAAGATAATTAAAATAATTATTTAATATGAAACTGCCTGAGCTCTGTGGAAGTAGATGTCTGCCAAAGCAAAGGAAGATGCAGGGTCGCTGCTTCATTCCAGCTCATGCACTTCAGCTGATGTGTAGGGTCTCATGGGCTGAGCTTGGGGAACAGTGTAAAACCTGTGCTTGAGGTAAAGAACACTCTTAGAAATTTTAGTTTCTTTTTTGGTGTGTGTACTGTTTCTTCTTTCAGACAAACTTCCTGTGATCCTGGATTTGATAAAGGTTAATGCTGTTAGATGCAAGTCGGATAGGAGAGGTTCCAATGTAATGTAGGTTGTCTTCCTATTAGAAAGCCAGTGGCAGTTTTACTCGGGCTTGCTCACTCTAACAGAAGGACTGGCTGTGAGGTAAATACCTACACTTGAGCTGTTATAAAACCTGATTTTGGAACAGGCAAGCCTTGAAGTTCTCTTTGGATGTTTCCTGAGTAGAAAGACCAAGAGGCTGAGGTGTGTATGTTTTGTCATCTTGGGGGATATGGGAGTGTGTTTGTATTTGAAAAGTAATAAGTTATTGTGAATGTGAATACTACTTGTTTTCTGCTCTTGCTCAATCCAACTGTTGTGATTATGACCACATTTAAATGAGCAGAAGCTAACCCAAGCTCTTCCTCTGAAGTTGAAGGGGAGGTGACTCTTGAACAGCAAGGCAGCTCACTTTTGCTTTGTAAGAGTGTATTTCTGAAGAGACATGGCACAATCCTGTTAATACACCTTATTCTCCTTTAGATGGCTTTTTACTTTTCTGCTTGCCCTCTTGACTGATGGTGGGTCCAAGAAAGCTTCTGGCCATTACAGTTTTTGGTGATTTGAATTGGCAGTATGTTTGCCTTTTCCCTCTTCTCATCTCTTCCTCTCTGAAACTCGCTTTAGATTTCATACTCTGCAGCTAAGGTCTGTGATTTCTGTGAGGAGGTTCTGAGTTTGTGTGAACATTGTGCTCTTGAAGAATTAGGCTACCAGGGCTGAGACCTGCAGGGACTGAAGGAGTGTTTTCATCACAGGAGGGAGTAACTAGCTGCTCTCCTCTCCTCTTCTGTTAATTAGAGAGTTGTATTGTAAATGATTTTAAGTATACAGTTCTCTCTTTCCCTCCCTGCACCCCAAGAGAGGCATGTTTGAAACCCTGTTAGGATTACATGTGATGATGGAGTTTGTTAGAACAAACTTGTTTTGAAGTTTTCTTTTCTGCCAGTGGGTGTGAGTTTTGTATTATATTGAAGATTAAAGTAGGGAGGGTGAGGAGGGGAATAACAAATTTACAGTCATGTGTCAAACTAATGAGTATTGAAGTATTTTTCCATTCCAAATCAAGGTATGGAACAGCAGTTTGAATAACTGCCTGATACTGTGAAACAGTGTGGTGTGCCCTGGTAGCTCTATCTATAGGATATGGAAAGGACGACTGCATCCGATACTGTCTCTAGTTGTATATAACATTGAAAACTCTGTTTATAGTACAAGACTAAAATCACAATCTATGTGATTGTGTTCTGACTATGGAGTATGCTCTGTAGCACATCTTACGACTTCAGGACATTTAGTGCTGCATGCTACTCTGGTGCAGCTGGCACGCAGGCAGAATAGAGGAAGGAGATGATGGGTACTCTCAGGTCCTTGGTTAACATAAGCATTTCAGTGAAGTCCATTTATATTGGATCAAAGTGCAGAAATCCTTAAACTCCCTGTTGTTCTTCGAGGCAGTTCAAACCATAGTAAGTTAACAAAAATATTGGAGAGCTGCCAGCTGAAAACTGCTTTGGGAATTAGCTTTTATATTTAACATTGTTATCCTTCAGTCCTGAAGTCAGTGATTCCTCTTCCTCTCTAGTACAGGCAACTGGACTCTCTGCTAATTCATAGGCTGTCACCAATGAGTTGTATTTTAAAGGGTTATAAATAAGCCACTACAGCCAAAGCTGCTTAATACAACTTGCAAGCAAAATCTGTCAAGAGGGACAAACCTACAACTTATCATAAGTTCTAGTGGAAACACACAGTGTTTTCAAATGCTGTAGGTAATGGCAGGCTGTTCCACAGCTTACACACCTCAAAACCGGAGTTAACATAGATTCTCATTCTGAATCTTAGCTTTAATGGGAATACTTGGTGATTTAAGGTTCTGTTGCAGTTTGTCATGTTCTTATCTAGAAAAGATGATCTTGCACAGGTCTGCTGATTCATCATGACATTAATCAAACCCCTTTTTGTTCCGGGTTGTACTTCTGGGTGTAGTTGTGAGATTTAGTTGTGTTCTCTGCTTTTCCTACAAAGGTGAATATCAGAAAACAGTGGCATATTCTGCAGTTTAGTGTATGTTCATTTTATTACAAACCTGGATTCTTTTACCTCTGTGTGTAATTCTTAGAATGTTAAAGCTACTTGCTCCTCTAATTCTCAGTAACTGTTCTGCATTGTGGTATCGTATATATAACGTATGTGCTAAATGTCTCAAAACGCAGTCACTCCTGATCACACCACTTGGAGTGAAGTTATGTTATCACGGCTATAGAACTCCAAAGAGAAAAGAGGAAACCATATAATCTTACAGAAGGAGGTGACTGTTTTACATAGGGGTGATTTGCTGCTTGCCAGTGGCTGCCTTTGTGGTGTGTGTTTTTGTTTTCTTGGGGTCTTTTCTTGGTTGGGTTTTTGTTTCTTTTTGTCTGTTTAGCAAAGCAGATGCTCTATTGGCTGAGGATGAATATAAATGCTCTTCAGGCCGAGTACAAAGATACCTTTTGTCCCTTCTCAGAATTGCTTGTTGCTGGTTCATTAGTTTAACTAAAAACCACTTCTTTAAGTGTCTTTTCAAATAATGTTCATTTCTGAAGTCCTAATGCTATCTGCTCAGCATTCTAGACTCACTGTTTCCTTCTGGCCAGCCTGTCACATTCACGAGGCATCGCATACTGTTTCATGCTCCTGTGACAGGTCCTTTCTTAGAGCTAAAGGAGACATATTAACCTGCTATATGAGGAAGTTCTGCACATCTCTTGGATTTCCCCTCTTCTTTCCTTCCTGTGTGTTCTGGTTTTGTCCTTGTTTTCCTTGCTTGTTGTGGTTGGTTTGAGGGTTGTTTTGAAGAGGTCTTGCCTGAAGGCTGAGGGTTTGTGTGCATGTTGTGAAAGTGGTAAGGAGACACAGTGAGATCCTAGGGGCAGCAGATGAGTGGATGCAAACTTCTATTTTTGACTGTTCCAAACAACAATTTTAAATATGAAGTTCTACTGTGTTATAAAAGGGTTTCAATGTGGTATTTGAGTTAAAGTGGAAGTAAGGAATAATTTCTTAAAGCTTGACATTGTCTAGCATGTTGGCTTATTGTACTGCTTTGTTTCCAGTAACGCTTCAGGAGATGTTTTCTTAAAAATACAAAATGAATCTTTAATCACAGAGTGATTGGTGTTATAGGGGGCTTCTCATCTTCCCTCTGTCTCTTTTGCTTTGTAAGTGGAGAACAGAGAGCGCCACGACATATTTCCATATTAAGCGAGGAAAGACTTCCCAAAGCAACTGAATATGTGTTGTTTGAGGAAGGCTAAATTTGAATCTGGAAATTACTATTCTTTACAGGATGTAGCCCTCATTGTTGGAGGTACATAGAGAAGATGGCTCTGATATAGTTAACCCTATTTAAAAAACAAATGTTTCTAAATTCCTCTTCAATACAGTAGTTCCAGATTTTGGCCTTTTTCATTCTTTTCATCTCTGCTTCTTCCTTCTCTTCTGCCATTTTTTGTCAGTTGAGTCTGCCAAAGAGTGTTTCTTGTTTCCTTTCAAATCCCTACCCCATCCTCTGCTACTTAAACTAGAGCACCAACCTACACTCTTCTTCTTGCCTCTGCAGTATGCAGCCTCATCTCTTCTGGCCGCATCTGGGTTTGAAGATTTCACTGGGAGATGTAAAAGCTGTTTTAATTCCACCATTGTACTGAACCACAGTTTTTAGCTCTCTGTTGGCTTCCTGAACAAATCATGTTGATGGAGCCTTGTGGCAGTTTGGGGAAGTATTTGTGCTAGAAGGAAAGGCTTATTTTAACTAGCAGTTAATGATATTATCATGATGTTATCTTGAGTATTTGGGTGGAGGAGTTGAGGTTGGAGCGTGGTTTGTTGTTTGTTTTTTTTTTTTTAGTTCCTGAAATGTGACTGTTCAATCCCTCCTCCCCTCTGATTCTCTTCTGTTTACTGATGTAAAGTTGCTGAGGAACTATTTTGTTGAAGGACAAATTTAGCATTGCCCTGGGTATTGTGGGGTTTTAGCACTGAATGTAGGAGAAGTTTGGAAAAGTTAATATTGATGACTCTTGGACAGTGTGTAAGACTAATGACATGCGTTGTCTTCATCTGTCTGCCTTTTAGGTGTCAACAGTTCAGTCTGGAACACCTCTGTGCCTTTCTTATCTTCATGTCCATGTGTGCTCTGTCAGTAAACTTTGTAACTTGATACTTCTTATCCCTTGGTGCAAAATGGGCCTGGCTCTTCCAGAAGGCAGACATACTTGCCTTGTATATATTCCACTAGAGCTGATAACCTGCTTCTTGTACCTAAGGATGGAGAGGAAGTTTATCTCTGCTCTTCTGGCCTTCTGGATATGCAAACACTTCTTGTTGTTGGTTAAGGTGTTCTGTGAACAATACAACTGTAAACCTTGCATGGTGCTGACTAACAAAATAATTACCACAGTTCTATAGGAAACGGTATTGTGGCAGGGCAAAATATTGTATGATGGATGCTGGGGTTAGTGTTCATATAACTGTTTTAAGCTCTTTGGTCCTACTACCCCACATGTTTTTCATGCATACTGCTCCCTTATTCGGAGTGTTACAAGCAATGGTATTTTTTGTCTAATTGTCTGGAGGGCCACTATCCAAAAGAAAGAAAAGTCTTGTGCATGCCTGTAGCAAATGTACCCATCTGTATAGAATCAGTGGGGTTGGAAAAGACCTTTATTTAAGCTCATCCAGTCCAAGCGCTCCCAGCACTGCCAAGGCCACCACTAACCCATGGCACTGAGGCCTCGTCTCCACGGTGTGTGAACACTTGCAGGGACAGTGACTCCAGCCCTGCCCTGGGCAGCCTGTTCCAACGCCTGAGCACCCTGTGGGGAAGGAATTGTTCCTCAGCTCCATCTAAACCTGCCCTGGTGCAGCTTGAGGCCGTTTCCTCTTGTCCCATCCCTTGTTCCTTGGGAGCAGAGCCCAGCCCCTCCTGGTTCCATCCTCCTGTCAGGCAGTTGTAGGGAGCGATAAGGTCCCCCCTGAGCCTTCTCTTCTCCAGACTGAACCCCCCAGGTCCCTCAGCTGTTCCCCATCACACTTGGCTCCAGGCCCTGCACCAGCTCCATTGCCCTTCTCTGGCCCTGTTCCAGTACCTCAGTGTCTCTTTGTCTAAGTTTTTATACCAAATTCCCACTCTTGCACGTGTAAAATGTACTTCTGGTGTTGACAGCTTTAGTTTCCCTGCAGAAAGAGGAACTTGTTATCCGGGAATTATTTGTCATATATGACGATTAGACATGAGTTGTGGAAACAAAGGGCAGTCTATCATGATGTGTAATTTGGAACTATGATTAATAAAAGAGTGGGCTTGATATCAGCTGTGTAGTTCCTCAGTACTTTGGACATTTATACAGCAATGAAACATTTTAAGATCCATCCGTTCTGTGCAGATATTCAAGGGACTTGGATTATTTTTTGCTTTGAGAGGGAAGAATGGGAGAGGTATAAGCAAAGGAAATTTGAGAAGTTGTGTCAGAATGCATTGAGAGAAATAATTCACCCAGTGGATGGAGGGACCCATCTACTACCTGTACCCTTGATGGCCTGAAACATCCTATCTGTGGGCATCGCTGCAAAGTCTGGCAGTTATCAGAAACACATTAATGTGCAGCTGGGGATGGTGTCTTCTCATGCATGCTTTTTAAAACTTATTTTTAAATTGTAGTGTTCAACTGACTCATTTGAAGGTGAGCAGTGACCTGTAATGTACGTGTGTATTGTATTTAATTGCCTCTAACTCTTTACTTTCTGTAGATGGAGCTGCCTGGCCTTGCTTTTGCTCTTTGGATGCTTATTTGTTTCTATGCATCTGTGGGTGGCTATCCAAATGGAAAAGTTAGAGAAGCCTGCACCAGCATGATACCCTGTCATGGTACCTCTCCACAACTGTCACCTGAGCACACCATTACAGTGAATGGGACTGAATTTAAACCAGGGGACAGCATAGAAGGTATGTGTCAGTTACAGTTGAATAGTTTAACGGACTGTTTCATTGTGTAGCTTGTCTTTACTCAGTTATACTAGATCTGTCTAAGCAGTTGAATCTTGCTTAGGTGATCCATTCAACAGTCATTCAACGCTTGTACTTGTTCAATAGCTTGCTTCTGGTGGTTGAAATATTTCATTCTTTCTCTGGAGAATATTTCTGGTTAATTTTTCTTCGGGTTTCAGTTCATCTGTCTGGACCAGTTTTTGAAGGCTTCTTCATCCAAGCCCGGGATGCAGAGCACCTGGAGAGCCCTGCACTTGGTTCTTTTATGTTAGCTGACCGAAGAGTGTCTCAGCTCCTGACATGTGGCCGTACCAAGGTATGGTTTAATGTTTTGAAGTGGGACATCAGGCACTGAGGTGTTTGTACCAGACCCTGTGCAGTCTTCTTTGAGTTCAGTGACATCCAATTAATGCATTAATCAGTGCTGTTAAGCCATGGAGGTGTCTGGGTTGTGCCCTTTGTGCTCCAAGGACTTAGTTCAGTGCTATGTCTGATCTGTTTATCTTGTGCAAATAACTGTCTGATCCCAAGTCTACTTTTGGGGCTTGTCCTCTAGGATACTAGTTCTGTTCTCTGTACAGTCATTGCACTGTCCCTTTATGCTCTTACTATCAAAACCATGGAACATTATCTTACTGTCAAAAAAATTTAGTGTTATCACACCATTACAGCATAAATGCTGCAGGGTCTCTCATCACAGAATCATAGAATGGTTTGGGTTGGAAAGGGCCTTAAGATCGTCTAGTTCCAGCCCCCTGCCATGGGCAGGGGCACCTGTCACTAGACCAGGTTGCTCCAAGTCCCATCCAGCCTGGCCTTGAACACTGCCACTGAAGTCTTCTGTATTGAAAGACCTCTAGTTGTTCCTTTTAGCCTCACAGTTTATTAGTATGTATAAGTTTCAGTGGCAGACTTAAACTGACTCAAGAGAAGCTGGTTGCAGTGGCTGTATGCAGTGTAACAGTGCAGTGTCAGTTTAGGATTTAGTTATAGCCTGCGAAATCTCCTTCCTGCATATCCACTATGTGTGTCTTGATATGTGTGTGTTTTCAGAATTCAGCTGTCAGTCACACAAGTAAAGCAAAAAAGAAGCACATCAAAGTTTATTGGATTGCTCCTGGCGATGCACCAAAACGGGTACAGTTTCTGTAAGTAAATGTAGTGTTAGTTCTAGCTGATTAAAATGCAAGTAAGTAAACCTGTGCCATTGTTGCGTCAAGTATTGGCCAGTAACTAAGTATCCTTGGACTGATGGCCTGAAAAGTGGACGCATCTTGCTTGCTGCAGAGTCTGCATTAATGCAGAGATTTGTGCTTTAGGGAATACTTGGAAAGGGATTTGGAGACCCATTTCTTTACTATTTCTACTTAACCGCTCATTTCTCATGTCTGTAGCGCACAGCGTTAAGATTTTTTTTTCTGTGCTGGTGCTTAATGAAATGGTATGTACACCGTCCTACTAGGTTTCGGGGAACTAATGGATAAAAGCTATACAACTCTCTCCGAGACTGAAACATTCATGTGTGTGGCAGAGATCACTTATATCTGACAGAGCATGCTGTCGTATATTTTAGTATTATTTTTCCACTGAGATTTCAGATATTTTCCTACCTTAATCCTTAATATGGTAGAGGCCTGCCTAAAGATGGAGGTTTTACAATAAGTTGTACAAACTATAGCTTTTCCTTTTTCCCTTTTTTTTTTTTCTCTAAGTAACAACCAGTTTTTGATGTACACTATGAGCGTGTGTGTGGTTTGTTTTTAAGAGCCACAGTTGTGAAGAAATACAAGACTTTCTGGGTGAAGATTCCTGGTCCCATTGTTTCTCAGCCTAGTGCACTGTCCCCAACAACACCTTTGCATACAATATCAGAGGCTATATCAACTTCACACCCTGTTTCCTACTTATCAAAGCCAGTAAGTAATTATAAACCTAAATAATGCTATTTTTAATGCTTGTGATGAATGTTTAATGTTTGTTTTATGAAACCACTTTGATAAATCCCATTGACAGAAAGGGAGAGGTGATGGATGAGTAACAGGTATCAGAGACTAAGGACATAGACAGCTCTTCTCTTGTGTTAGCGGAGTAGCCTGAACTTGTGTAGGTTAAATGCCATGCCACACAAGGCTCAGAAGGCTGATAGAGCACTTAGAGCTTAATGGTCAGAAAATCCTGTTCATACCTGGGGGGAGAAATGGGAAAGAGGCTTAGTCTGGTTTTGACTAGTAACTTCCTATTTAGTAACTGCAGGCTCAGAAACTTCCTTCTGTGAGTTTAGCTGTGTTACTCGCTTCTGATACGGATTTCCGTTACAGATTCTTGACTGAATTGAGCAAGCATCACTGTTTGATCCAGAATAAATGTGACTTTTAATCCATATGTTTTCTTCTGGTGTATCAGTGGAGTTCCTACTTTAAAAAGGAAACAAAAAGCTGGTCTTCCCTTTGTTTCTCCCTCATCTGCAGCTGCTGTTACCTCTTTAAAAACTAAACTGAAGGAAATTTCCCTTTCTTTTCTTGAGTCAAAGTACAGCTTGGAACCCACCAGTGTTTCACCTAATAGTACTGGGGTAATTTTAGGGGGGGTTAAGAGATTGGTATGTAGACGTAGATGGCATTTTATTGCTATTCCTCATATGCTTTCTTCTAGAATGGTGTAAAAAGGGAAGAAGAAGAGGGGAAACTCTCATTGCTTATGACTTGTTTGTTTAATTATCTAGTTTAATGCATCCGGTTGTGGAAGGACCAAGTTCTGCATTAGGAACCCTTCAAACTGTGATCCTGAAAGTGCTTCCTGTTTTTTTCTATCCTTCCAACAAGAGAGGAGCTCAGTATTTATTGAAATGAGTGGTCCAAGTGAAGGATATTTAGCATTTGCATTGTCCCATGACCAGTGGATGGTGAGTATCCTGTTCTGCTTTAGTTGCTTTTTGTGGTTTCAGTAAAGTTGGAATGGTACTTTAGCAAAACATGCATATAGAAAACTGAAATGCTGCTAGACACAAGAGTGACTTCTCTTTCATAGTGCTGAAGTGCAGGTTGCCTCTTTTGGATGGATGTTCAGTTGTAGCTATCTGAAGTAGAATCTCCCTGTGGAGATCTGTCTTGGCAGAATCCAACCTGTATGACTGCACCATAGCTAACTGGGATTCCTGGTTGGATCAGTGTTTCTTTGTAACCTTGCCAAAACCCCTTACCTGTCAGAAGCTGAGTTGCTATGCTTTCTGAAACCCATTTGCATTTCAGCACTGTTTGTACAGGAGAGATTCCATTCAGTCTTAAACAGTGTTTAGAGATCCTTTTTTATATTTGGTGTTGAAGTCAAGGGATTATGCTTTTGACAAATGCATAGTCCATAAACCAACTGTTGCACAAAGAAGATACTGTTTATATTCATGCCCCTAGTGCAGGAACACTTGGTTCTTAGCTGTAAAGGCAAAACTTTAACTGAAGAGAGTTTTTTAAAGTAGCATCAGTGTCCACCTCTGCCTTGTCTGCTTAATTTAGTGAACTATAAATAATTAAAGTTTTGATAATATGGTTGTTACCCTGGTGTGTGTGGGGAATAAGAGTCTGTATCGTAATGTGCCTGTGTCATCTGTTTGACTTAATATGATTCTTCTTTAAAACTGAAGTGTTTGAAAGCTGGAAGTAGTGGCTTGACAGCTAGAGAAATGTGTCTTGGGTCTTGTTGCATATGTTAAAGAGTTATTTGAGACTGCCAGTAGTTGTTTTTATTGGACTATAAATACCTTTCTCCTTTAATCTCTCCAGGGTGATGATGATGCATATCTGTGTGTTGGTGAGGACCATGGCATTCACACCATCGCTGCCTATTTGAAGGGGAGAAGTCCTCCTGTTTTGGATTCAGAGGTACATTTGGAAACAATTGAGACACTTTCACCAATGTAGGTTTGAAGTAATGAATGATGGGCTGCTGCTTTGTGCTTTTATCTTGTACAGCAGCTATTTATAGTAAAGTGGATCCATAATTCTTTAAGGTGGGATTGGTTGGGCACTTGTTTCCTAGGAAATGTTACCTTTCGAAGTAAAAATAGGTGTGTGTGGGCTTACTCTACTGAGGAACTTTGTGCCTTATTCCTCTGTCCCTTTGCTAAGACTGTAGTTGCAGTTGGTGGTAATTAAGTCCAACACTTATGTTGCTGTTTTGACCTACTGACATACCTTCTGAGTAGGTATGCAAGAGATTTTTACACACACCCCTCCACCGCAATCATTAGTGTTCTTTCTTGGTGCCTTGCTTGTCTTTTGGTTGCTTTTTGAGTCACTTACTCTGACATTCTGAAAAGACCGGGTATTGAATGTCTCCTGTTTCACAGAATGCCCTTGAGGATGTGTCATGGAGGCTTGCAGGTGGTCTTCTTCAATGTTCTTTCAGAAGAAGTATTTGTCTCCCTGCTCACAAAGGGAGGTTCAATCTGAATGCCAGTTACTACATCTTTCTGGCAGATGGAGAAGCTAGTGAAGGTAAATTTGACTTAGGTATGCTTGCCTCTCTTTGAACAGCTATACATGAGTTAGTAACCCTTATGTAAGGTGTGGTGTAGCTGAGAGTTAGTATCTGAAGTAAGGTTTCCAAGTTTGAGGCACTTAGTCCAGTCATCTTTACTGGATCATGGGTTTGCTTTTGGAAGTTACATTAAACTTTTATATATATATATATAATATATATGTTATCTGTCCACTTGATGGCTTCTTGAGCGCTGGCCACATACTGTTAAAATGGAGATTAGCATCTAAAATGGGGACAGCATCAAAGGGAATTATTCTTCATGTGCCTGTAGTGGAGAAAGCTGTTAGCTATAGAGGGGTGAGCTGGTTCTTGTGCATTAAATGTGCAAGACAGCTCAGATGACATCTTCGATTCTTACTGTTTTGTGTGTCAGAAATGTAGTTTGTATGATTATGCTCAGTGGTAACAACAGGACTTGCATTCATAAATAAAGAGTGGGCATGTTTACAAGTGCAGTGGCTTTCATCAGCCATAAATAAACCACTTTATGCTACTACTTAGGTGGAGTAATACACAAACATCATCATCAGCCTCTGATCACCAACGAAATGTACAACGTCACAGGAAGGCCTCAGGATATTGGAGGTTCCCGGTCTCCACGACTTATCAAGGCTCATGGTAAGATGCAACTTCTAGTTTTGTCTTCCAGTTCCAGACTTGCTGAGGCTGGAGAGTTGTTTTCCTCATTATTGCAGAGTAGGTATTTCCTTGTTTTTATGAGACTCATGTTTATCTATACTGTTGGCTGGCAAGATGTGAGGCTGTGAAGACAAAGTTATTAATAGTCTTTCTTTTCAAGAACAGCACTATAAGATTCTTACGGCCCAGGAAAATGAACTTGTATTTGCCTTTTCTCTTAAATTTATAATCTTAGCATCACAGGATCTTTAGTGTTGGCAGGGCCCTCTGGAGATCATGTGGTCTAACACCCTGCCAATGCAAGACCACCCAGAGCAGGGCACACAGAAACATGTCCAGGCAGGTTTGGAATGGCTCCAGAGAGAGAGACTCCACAACCCCCCTGGTCAGCCTGTGCCAGGGCTCTGACACCCCCCGTAAAGAAGTTCTTCCTCATGTTGAGGTGATATTTGGTGTTTGTTAGTTTATAGCCATTGCTCCTTGTCCTGTCACTGGGCACCACTGGGAAGAGTCTGGCACCATCCTCCTGGCACCCTCCTTCGAGCTATTGATCTACGTTGATGAGATCCGCTCTCAGTCAGTCTTCTCTAGGCTAAACTGGCCCAGCTCCCAACTCCTCAGTCTCTCCTCATCAGAGAGATTTCTGTTTACCTTTTTCTCTTTGGTTTATTTTTTCCTAGTTACATTATTGGCTTAATTCATTTGAAATGAAAAACCCCTCAACTGACTGTCCAGAGCCGTCGAAGTTAATGAGAATATTTTGTGTCACAGTACTGGACTTTAAAGCAGACCCATGGGAGAACTGTCACTCATTGCTTGTCAAACAAACTGTAAGATCGTTTGAAAACATTCATTCCCTGATGTCCAAGTTGGTGACAGAACAGGCATCTCTCACCACTATGTACTGACCGTACTGGTGCATACGAAACATGCAATAGCCAGAGCTGCTCTGTTGTGCTGTGTGGGCATAATTTGGTTATCTTCCCTATGGATGTTTCTTCCCTTTAGCAAGATAACTGCTACAAAGCTGTAGTCCGAACCAGGTGATTAAAACTTATTACTTGTAAATTCTCACCATATACGTACAGACTAAACTGTTACACAGTCTTTACAGCTAATTTACTCACCTTTCCCTTGTTTTCCATTTTCAGGAGCACTGATGTTCATTGCTTGGATTACCACAGTTAGTATTGGTGTCATTGTTGCACGATTCTTCAAACCTGTCTGGTCTCATTCATTTCTGTTTGGAAAGGAGATGTGGTTTCAGGTGGGCAAAACCTCCTCCTATCTCTTGCTGTATTTTCTAGCTGTATTTTAAGCAGAACTATAAACCTAGTGGATCCAAGAAATAAATGATTAAACTTGATGTGATTTTTATCTTTTTCTAATCCTACAAAATGGAACAATTACAAAGAAGAAGTTCACCTACTTTACTAATTAAAAGCAAAGTCTACAGAGGCCACTAAGAACATCTTTAACTGTAGATGTTAAGCGTACTTTAATGGTATATTAAGAAAGCTGTAAAGTTTCTAAAAGCTAACTTAACTTTTCTAGGTGCATCGTATGCTTATGTTGACCACAGTCATGCTCACAAGCATTTCTTTTGTGTTACCTTTTATATACCGAGGAGGTTGGAGCCAAGTAAGTGTGTGCTTTTGTTTTGTTTGTTAACTCAAATATAAAGGGTGGACCAAATGAATGAGAAAGAGGTTCACTGATGACTGACGTTACTTGAATTTGGGAGGGGAGAGAGAATGGGATGGCTAACTAACTAACATGGCAAACCTGCTGGGAGTAAGTGTTGTGATGGACTTTATGGCTTGATGTAGCTCTATCCAGTGATTAAGCTTGGTCTGGAAAACTTGATAGAGATTGTGTACCTGTTGCTGGCATCTGTACAATATTTTGTGTGAGGTGATATCAGAAATTGGAAAGCATAGAGAGTATCTGAGTTAAAGGTGCGAGAATGTGGACACAGGTATGAGCTAGAGCTAGTGAAACTGAATACAGTGGTTAGGGTTAAGGTCAGAATGGACAGGGTGAGAGGAGAGATGAGTGGTGGGAGGAATGATGAGATAGGGTTCTCCTGAAGGCACAGGGTTGAGGATCAAGAGCTTGGAGCATAGCTTCTACAGTCATCTTGCTCTCTGCTCTTCAAATGGTAGAAGTTCTCAATACACAACAGTGGAGAAACCCTGGGACAAATGGTAGAACTTCTCAATACACAAAACAGTGGGACAAAGCCAGTGTCTCATGCTGCCAAGGAGTACAATCTCTATCCTGGTGCAGGACACCTTGCTGTGTTCTACACCTCTACCAGTTTAAACACTGTGCTGCTCCACCACTGTAACTTACTAATACTAGCATAAATAAAATGATCAACTTTTTGGTGTGTTCTATATATCTTTATATAGATATGTTATTAAAGACAAGTGTCCTGTGTTTAGCAAGCAGGTTTTCACCCCTATCTCGGCTGTACCGTGATGGCACTGGCAATATTTCAACCGCTTATGGCAGGTTTCAGACCATCTCGTCATGCAGCAAGGTACTCACAACTAGCTCTTTAAGTTACAGCCATAGAAATTAAATGTGCTTGTTTCGTTAAACATCATTTTTACATTGAAAAGATGTCTTTAAAGTCTTTTTACCCCTGCCCCAGCTATGTAATCAATAAACTGCTTTTCATTGCGTTGTAGGAGGCAATTGTTTAACTGGTTTCACTGGAGTACTGGTACAGCAGCTAGAATACTAGCTGGTGAGTAGGAGTAATACTTGTAACTACTTTTTAAGTGATTTAAAGGAATTTTGTTCATTGCCTGGACTGTTGCTCATGTAAAATCCCTACGGACAACCATTCGAGGCATCTCTGAAGATTCCTTTTCTTGCTAGCCGTCTTCTGTGTGAGTTTGAAGTGGCCATCAGGTACAGCTTTAGGGAGAAGTGACTGTAAAACCAAAGAGATTCCAAAAGACTCTGATATCTCTGTAATGAGGACCTGCTCTTGAGTGATTTCTTTTTGCCTTGGAAGACTTGGGGATAGTGTCCTTACGGAAATGTAGTTTAACATTATGTAATGGGAGAAGGGAAACTTGCAGGACCGGAAGCTGAGCTTAATTCTGTTAATAGTGACAAGTTTCCGCAGGTAGTTTAAGCACAAACGTTGTGGTGACTGTAGTCTTGGTAGAGTCATGAATGCTAGTGTTTGTTTAACTGTAATGTGATAGGGCACTGAGCAGGATGAAAAGTATCTTTGCTTTCTCCTTTCCTCCCTGCCTTCCCCCTCACTGCCAGAAAAATAAAAGCTTTTAGATACATGAGTGACATGGATTCCTTTAACATCATTACCCAAGCAGTTTCAGGCAGTTTGTGGGAAATCTGTTGCCAAAGGTGTTGAGAACACAGCATGTTTAGTGTCTCTACCTTGTTTTTACTGCCTAGTGGTGACTATGTTCTTGGGAATGAACCTAACAGCACTTGATCTGCCTGACCCTTGGGACACCTACACAATGATTGCTTTTGTAACTTGGCATGTCGGCATTGAGGTTCTCCTGGAAATACACAGCTACTGTCTCATACGTAAAGGTAAAAACCAAGTGAAACTCCTGGTGTTATCTTGGGTGCTGAGGATTGATTGAATTTCAGATGTTCTTTGGCCTCTAACATGGAAGCTGGAAGGGCATAACCTCAAGTTATGGTGGCATATCTTCTGTATAAACAGATATGGGAGTAAACCAGGTTTCATGACCAAAGTGTTCCAGAAAAGTTAGTTTTGTTCCATTTTAAATAGCAGCCTCTTATTTCTCAAACCACAGCTGATAGGGGCAGACTGAAATGCATAAGTATTTTCCAAGAGTCTATTACTGTTTGCCATGGTTTTGATCCCAGGTGAGTAGCTAAAGTCCAGGTTAGGTCATGCAAATGTGGTTTGTGTTTTATTGTGACAAACTGCTGGTATGAATAGCTCTATTGCATGAGCAAAATTATCAGAAACCTGAGCACAAATGCTTGCAATTTTGAGTGAGCAAGGGAATGAAGGTGAAAACCTGACCCCAATAAACCAGTCTCATGAAGAGACTGAAAGTAACTTCATTGGGAATTCTTAGCTTCAGTGGCTGGTGTCACTAAGAGGAGGTAACTATGCACATGTAAATACCCTGTGTCTTGAACAGGGATGAGACATCTGCAGAACTGAAGAGCATGATTAGTTAAGAGGCTGCGTAAGGTGCCAGGTAGAGGAGGAGTGATTATAAAAGATGTGAATTTAAGTTCAACTGCAGTAATTACTTCCTAGAAATAGAGAAATGAACCTGAAATGTTTGAACATTTGTTTGAAGGTTCTCATGTTGCCTAATAGAAAATACTTCTTAATGAAATCTAGTTGTGTTCAATTGAAAAGGAAAAGGGTTTAGAGCAAACAAGTATCTTGTTCAGCTCAAAACTTGGTGTTTTGATGATTCACTCTAGCAGAAGAGGCAAAATGTTTTGCCATTTCTATGTCCAGAAGTTATTTTTTGTAGGTCAGCTCCAGAACAATTTTTCACTTGTGCTGTGAGCATGATGTTGCAGGTCATGAAATGAAAAATGAGCCCCCTCCTTCCTCTGAAGAGCAAACTTTGTTTTTCTTCCCACTAACAGTTGAAGTGATAGAGTATGACAGAGTGCAGATACTGCAGTCACTCACATCCGCAGAAGCAGAGGTGAGTCACAATTTTATAAATAACTACTACAAAATGGGATTTTTTTTTTGTTGAAAACTATAAAAAGACTGACGCTTCTGTGTTCTGGGTTTCCCTTCTCTTGCAGGGTCGTCTGTTTAAACAGATTGTGTTAACCATCTATGTCTGTGGAAATATAGTATTCCTCATTGCCTTTCTGGCAGCAATCAACCAAATCTGAAAGAAATCATTGAGAATTTTGTGATGAAATCTTGTGCAGTTGAATTTAAACCTGCAAGGAATGCTTTCTGTTATAACTTCTCCCTCAACATCTCCTTGAAGATGCAATTGAAGAGTAACAGCATGTGTGTCATGCTCAGTGTCAGGAAGAACTTGAATTCCAATCTATAGAAGGACGCTGCAGTCCTACAAAGCTGGGTTCTGATGGGACTTTTAATGGGAGGCTTTGCCTGAGTAAGGAATGAAGTCTCTGTTTTTTAAGTGCAGTAACTGAACTTGATTGAAGCTTGTAGGTTAAGACAACTGAGAAGATGCTGAAAATGCTGTTTTGATACAGTTCCCTAAACCTTTTGTGAATATCATTGGGAAAACTGAAAAGATTGATCTGAACTCTGTCATAACTGTTCACTTTACTGTGTACTAATGGCATGTGATGTGGAGGCTTCCTGCTCATGACAGTATTGTGCATTAAAAAACAAACCAACCAAACCACCAGCTTACTGGAAAACTCTCAAATGCAGACGATGCATGAACTAAATGCTGTTGTCTGTCTTTGCAGTAAAATGCAAAGAACATTCTCTCTGCTCTAAGAGCAGCACACTTACACAAGCATATGAGTTTGGGAACTTTAGTCCTTTAGTAGAAGCACCATTTGCCTCATTCAAGATACTGTTTGTCCCATCCTCTCAGTGATTCCAAACCATAAAGAGAAAACGTGCCTGCAGTTTACATGCATCAAACCCAGTTGTGCTTACCCAAAACTCAAACAGTATTAGGCTTCTTCAGGCTAGGGCTGCTAAGCTACCTGGGAATGAAGGTATTGGAATATTGGACAGAACAGTGAGACCTGGAGTAGCATAGCAACATCTCTCTATTACCTGGTGGCCAGCTCTTAAAATATTCATTCTTTGTTTACTAAACTTTTTATTTCTGTCTTCCTCCATCTCCCCACATCCACAGTGTAGCCTGCTGCAGGAATGAGTCCTACTCAGAAAGCTACAAGTTGTTTTGTAGTCGGTGATCTTTTTGGCTGCTTAAGTAACTAGCTGGTTTAACCGTGAGGGCATTTATAGAGCTGGGACTGATCTGTTGGCAGCAGACTGCAGGTGAGTGTGAGTTGAATCGTCTCCCTTCCTCCCGGAAGCTGGCTGTGTGCAGCTTGGGAAAGGGGGATTATGAAGAAACATAGCAAACCCCAGGCTGAAGGACAAAAAGTATATGGCTAATTGTGTGGTTTGTGTCTTCTTTTAATTTGCAGGGAACTCTGATCTCAAAATCTGGGAATCACAGGCCCATCCTGTGCTCAAGTTTGGGGGGACTTTTGTTTTTGTATACTATGAGTTTATAGATGAAAATCTCTCAAACAAGCGTGATTCATAGCTTTTTAATTAAAGGCAATGCTGGATTCTTTGTGTAATACAATACCTGTGCTGCGTGTTGTTTTCATTTGCGTGTGACAATGAGTGTGGGGTTTTTAAAGCATGAATGTAAATATCTTAAAGTTTTTGTCCCTTTCAGTAACGTGAAAAAAACTGTCAAATAGAAACTAGGAAAGAATAATCCTGCCTAGCAGCAAAGTGGATTGTCTGTTTTCTTTAGAGATGTTTTATAAATTAAAGCAATCTAAATACTTCCTGGAAAAACTTGTATTGAAACTGAATGTTCAAGTAGTTTTGCCTTGTAATGCAGAGTTTATCTTCCTCAGGAAGACAAAAAATTCCCTTTACCACATCTAATTCAGCTTTAAAGTTCGCAAAATGGGCGGTTGCTCTGAATAACTTGTTCCTTCCCAGGGCTAGCAATACTGTGTGGTGTTGCAACTAATTTGATGGGAAGACTTGTGTAATGTCTGTTCACAGCACCAGCACTGCCCTCCTCCTGCATGACTACCAAGAGGAAGCAGAGTGTCAGCATATTCTAGTGACTCCCAGACTTTCTGCTATACTCCTTTGGATAAACAAAAAAAAAAGGAAGAAGTCTATGGAAGTGTTTGATATCAGCAGGAACAGGGTGACAGGCCGTTTGGTTCTAGAGATGCTGGTGGCTGCTGTATTTTACTCCATTTTCTCCAATGATACTGTATAAAAGAAATTCCAGTGCCTTGCTTATAAAAGAATCCCGCTGAAGTCAAGAAAATTTCTTCACAAGAAGAGCTGAGAAGGTTTCGGTGTTCTCTCACTCTCACCTTAAACTTGTGATGACAAATCAACATTAGCATGTTTCTCTTTGGGTTCCTCTAGCCAGGCAAACACTCCCAGTCAAGTACAAACTTGCGCTCAGGCTCACAAGTGGTTTACAGTTTTGACTGAGTTGTTAGATGCAGCCTCCAAATACTGGCCATCTAAGCTTGACTTAACTACAAATGATGTTTCTTGCATGTGTTTTGAGTGAAAACGGATGTAAATAGCTCTATTTCAATGGAATTCACTGCTACTTTGACTGACTTAAAATGGTATGTTGCTAGCTGACATGAGGGCTGCAGAAGGACATAAGGTGTGCTTTGTTTCTCCTCCTTACACTGAAATCTACACTGTTCCCTGTTTTTGTCAAAACCCATGGGATAGAGGCTTCATTTTCAGTGTAGTAATGCCTGCGTTTTTGCTTCAGCCAGGTTTAGGACGCCTGGGAGCGATTGCCTGCCTGTTTTCCATCACTGTCTGTGACACTGTGTGGCGCTCTTGGTCAGATAACAGCGTCTGTATTCTGGTTGCTTTCTTTAATCTGGCAGGGAGAGATTGAGACACGTAAAGGATGTCTGAAACAGGAGGTATTCCTGCATGAACTAGTTGGGAAAATTCCGAAGCTTTATTAAGTAACTCAGTCTTTAAATTCAAGCCGGTTCATACAGGTAGATATGATGAAATGGGTGTTTGCTTGATCTCTATGCTTCAGCTTTTGTTTGAGCAGCGTGTCTTCCTTTGTGATGTGTGTAAACTCTGCTCTAAGTGAATACATCCCTTTCCAAAAAGCTAAGACGAATGCCAGTCATTAAGGAAAAACTGCAGGGTTCTGCACTTCAGTACAGAAGTTAACATCTTGGTGAATTTTACACCTTTGGTGCAGGCTGAAGTACAAAAGGCTCCAAGTGAATAGAAGGACGGTTAACAGGAATGATCTGCCAGTAATTCTGAGGAATTCTTTGCTTACATCAGTCTGGTTACAGGGGTATGTGTGAAGGGCAGTGCTGTTGCAATCACTTACCTGAGGAAGTGGCAATGCAGAATGGGCGCAGGAAAAATGCCTCCGAACACCTGCTACCATCAGTTTTTGTTATACCTGAGGTAATTCAACTACTCTATAGCTTCTGGTCATCTTTGCGCTGTGCAAAAGTGACTTCATGTGTTGTAAACCACAAAAGCTGAACGTTTGTATCCCACTGAACCAGGTATCTATGACACTCATCCTGGACAAATGATACTGCCGTAAGAAGGACTCCAGGGTTGGCTTTGTTTCAGACACTTTTGTCTTGCTGGACCATAAAAATCACGTGGCTTTAGTGATGAATTGGAATTTTGCATGGCATCCATAGAGATGTGTTTGGTTGGTTTGCCTTTTTGTAAATCTGTTCTTGTCTTCTAATACAAAGCTTCACAAGCAAGGAAAGCTCTGGGGCTGCAGCACTCAGATGATGAGCATCTCTGCTTCCCAGAAGCACACAGCTCTTGACTGCTCCATTTTGTGTGTCTATTCCTTCAAACGGATGATCTGCTATCCATGCTGCTATGTAGCTGGGGTATTAGTGTGGAACAGCTCGGGTTCGTCTGGCACAAACTGAATAGCTTTAATGTACTTGACATCAGAATTGCCCTTTGGCAAAGCAGGGATCTCCTAAGCCCTATATTGACTCCACCAGTGGTAGGAATGAGTGCTTAGGGCAAGAAATGTAACAAGACTGCAGTGATATTTTCTATTCTCTTCCCAGCCAGGTCTCCTTGCCACTTGCTAGAATCTATGCAAGGATGTCCTACACTAGAAACTACAGCTGGACCGTGAGCTTCTGTGGTGGTTGGATTTTATCTATGAAGTGTGCAATGAATTATTATTAAAAAAACTATTAATGTTTTTTGCCCCCTCCATTGCGAGACAGTGCTTGGGTTTGGTTTAAGCCTGCTTCTTCATATCCTCATTTAATGCTCTCTATATTGTTTTTACCTTCCTGCCTTTATCACGTTTCTCTAGGTGTCTCATGTCTGTGCCTTACTGTCTCTCTCCCTGTATGACTGTTGCTGTATTTAGCCATTTTGCATTTCTGATAATCTTCATTATCCTTCTTTATTTGTCTCTTCAGAGATAGGGTGGCTAAACTCTACTCAAATTGTAAATATGAAGTACTGCCGTTGTGTTTTGATTTGTTTTCCAGGCCTTCCCTAATGAGACCTCTTCATTTTCATGGCTTCTGAGCATGGAGTTGGTATTTTCTGAGGGCTATCTAAAATAATGCCCAGGTACTTTGCTTTCCAGCCAAGGGGTCTGTAGCACCAACTTAATTCCTTGTGCTGTGGAGGGTTTGGGTTGGTTCTGTTTGTTTTACATTACTTTTCATGTATTTTTAGTAAATTTCACCTCTGGATTTACTATGTATTCTCTATTTTTAAGTTTCTCTTCAGTCTCCTCTCTTTTAAGCTACTTTGAATAATACTATGTTGGCAGCAGCAGTTTTGTCCCCTTTGCCAGGTCATTTAAGTTTTATAGCACAGATCACTGGGGAAGGCAGGGGATGAGTATCTATAACCACTGTTACAAAACCTGCTTGTAACTACTTGGTATCAGTCTCCTAGTCTCTCACTTTTGAGTATATGCTGTTAAGAACCTCTTGAGAAGATGTAAACAAAATAACAGAAGAAACATGAGGGAAAATAATTTACTATAACAGAAACCCACCAGGATAGACACAGAGAAAGTGCGATACAGTTATATTTATTTGGTTTATCTACTATTCCACTCTTCAGGTAACCATCTCTGACAAGTCCTAAGATTGAAGATTTTTACCCACTTCAGACTGGGAGCCACCAAGAACTCAGAGGCTACACATCAGCTGATTCCTACCATCCTGCCTCAGTGTGAGGTAGTAGCTTTAGTTTCCTGCTTTGAAACGAGGAAGGCCAGCAAAAAACTTGTGGTCTTTTGGTTTCTTTGCTGGTGCATAATTTGAGTCAGCTATAGTAGAATAACACAACCTGAGCTTTAGCTGTTCAGTGATTCAAACCAGGCTAAGACCTATCATACTGATTTGAGTAGAAGGATGCAGTGCTAGGAGGCACTTTTTCTCACCCCCAAGAACTATGTACTGGAAAAATACAACTTGCATGTATTTTTCTAGGGGTAACTGTACCTTATGGCTGCTTTCAGTGCCCTCGGCTCCTCCCTCACATGGAAAGAATTAACCTGCTCACTGATTGGAGCCTTGAGCTGCAGTGCCTGGCAGTGGCTGTATCTCTAACAGACTTTCTCTTGATGCTGCAGGACAAGCCACTGGCAACTCCAGTGTTTCTGTTGGGATGCCTGCACTGCCTGGCCAGGCACTGTCTGTCTGGAAACCAGTTTCCGGGAAAAGCAGGGGTTTCTAAGCAACCTATAAAGGGAAACAGTGCTTGGAAGGTCAGGCTGTTCATGGTGTTGAAGGGAGCAGGGGCTGAGGATGGCTGTGTGGTCATATGTAAAACAGAAGGATGGCTGGACTGTGGAGATCTAGAAGGCAGCTAAAGATTTAAACTGACTTCTTTATTGGTTTAGTTTCTTTTGGTGTCACTTAAAAAGGAATGCTTTAAATTTTGGCCAAGGTGGCATGCTTGGAAGCCAGGTTTTATATTTCTCCCTGCTCCTATCTCTCATGCTTAGTTTTTTATTAACCAATGCTCTAACCAGCAAAACGGCGTTTTCAATCACAATTGGGTAGATCAAACTTGGAAATGAAACAGTGTCCTGTGAAGTTCTTTGGAGATGGGTGTTTATCTGTTCTATGTGTATAGCAACAGCATATTCCTGACTGTGGGAGCAGGTATGCACATGTCTTCATACTTGGATATATACTGTGTTTATGGTCTTAGGTAACTCTCTACTACTTACAGAGAAATCCAGGGTGTGATTTGTGTCTATGTGGCAGTTGGTCAAATCTAAAAGTCTGTTCAAGTCCATTGGGTTATGCAGAGGGCAAAATAACCCAGGTGCATAAAAGAGAGGAGCAAAGCAAGCATTCTGATCCAAAAAAGGTGTGCTGCAGAAATTCTTCTTAGCTTTATGCTGTTTTGAGTAGCAAACTTTACTTCCATGTCATTACAGCTGTTAAATCACCTTTTTCCCCAGCTTTGCCATTCTCATCCTCAGAGCTGAAAAAAGAAAACAAAGCCATTGCATTTTCAGACTAACTTCTTCTTTCTGACACTAAATCTTCATATAAAGAAATGAAGAATTACACGTACCTCCGGTGATTAATCCAGCAGAATAAGCATTGGTTTAGTATTATAGAAAGAAATCAGTAGAAAGCATTAGTTCTGATAATTTTGCAAGAAAGAGATATATTAAGAAATATTAAGAAATGGCTCCAGTATTACTATTTGAAGATTAGCACAGTTTACCTAACTGTTCCCTTCCCGAATGCATTGCAGACAGCTGGTATTGTCCTTGAACGATTCAAAGGATGCATGATAATTAAACAAACTCTGTGTTTAATCTAAACTCCTCAGTGGGAGCTGTAACTGTTTGGAAGCCTTTTTTCCTTTGTGTTCATGTTCACAGACAACTCTCCTGTCTTCCCGGTGTAGTGAGTCAGTGTTATTCCTATAATTTCAGTCCGACAGAGTGACTTACAATCTGTATGAACATCAGTGTGGCTATTGTCTGTAATGGGGGATAGTGTGGGTTAGTTTGAAAGTGACAGTGGAGGGCAGAAGATTAAATGTTAAGGTTATTTTAAGAACAGCAATAGAAGGCTGCTCTTTGATATGTAAGAGCTCCCCCCACCACGTAGTTGATCTACGAATCCTCTCCAGTCCTCTGACCTCTTAGTTTGAAGAGTCACCCAAAATAGCATCTCTCGTCCCTTCTTCCTGCACATGTCCCTGTACTGAGAGACAGGCATCAAAGCAGCTGTTTACTTGATTTATGCATGTCAGCAAATGCCCAACTGGAGCAATGTTTTGAATGCTGAAGTTATTGCAAATCGTAGAAGCATCTGAGTGTAACTTTATATCGTAGGGCCACTGATGTTAAGCTTAGCTCTTACAAAGACCCTGTGTACTGTTTGCAGACTAGGGAGGTCTGAAGGCTTCAAGTCCTGCTTGTGGTTTGAGAGAACAATCAGTCTGACGCTTTACTGAGAGCCATTAGTCCCTTTTTCCCTTGCTCCATACTTTAAAGAAACATGGTGTGCATGAATCTTCCTCAATGAGAAAGCTTTTTTGTCCGTTATTCTTTGACACAAACATGCGAGTTTGAAGGTTGCACAGCTTACAGTGGTAAGAATTAAAAATAGCTCATCTAGACCCGCCAAAAGCCTTGGACCTTCATGCCCCACGAGAGCTTGTTCCGCACTGTTAGTAGGTTTTACTGCCTGTTCAGCTTCAATTTTTCTTGCCTTATTCATTCCACTATGTCTAGCCTTTGTTTCCTCCAAGGAATTTTAATTTCCTTAATGAATATTTAATCTTCAAAACATTTGCACACTGACTGAAATTTAAAGAGGAAAATAGGCTCTAATAATGCAAACCACTGGTGCCCTAATTATAGCATTGTCATCCTTCTCTCGGTATGGTTTTTCTGAGGGCACGTACTTGGAGATATTGGTCCTGCAACAAGCCTTCAATATGGAAGGAGATATGTCCTAGTTTCTATCAGTTTGGGGGCATGCTTGAAAGCTCCTTGTTTAATCTGACATTTCCTTATATAGATTGGCACATGGAACGATTCATTTGCCTTGTAGTTGTCCTCGGCCATCACTACCTTGTTCAGTGACTTGCTCTGAAGGTTCATTTCTTCGCTAAAGCAAAATTGCTACATAAGGGATCATCTCCCTGACGTGTCCTGTGCTTCCTTCCTTTCCATTCCCTTAATGCCTGTTTAATGTTCAAATGCTGCAATTGTTTCCTGAAGCTTTCATTTCAGAGAGTTATTTTTGCTGTTGTTTTAGTAATGAATGGTGAGGTACCAATCCCAATTTTAACTCCCTCTTTTCACTGGTGGTAGTTAAGGTGAACCTTCTGGGCTGGACTAGTGGCTGCCTTTGAAAACAATTTATTTCCCTAAGAAACAACCCTGTGTAATACATTGTTGTAGATTTCAGAGGCTTTCCTTGTTTTGTTTCCTTTTTAGACGTCGCATTAGGATTGAAGAACTGCTGGGGAAAAACTGAGTCACTTCCTGGCTTTTTTTCACAGAGCAAAATGTCCCAGGGAATGACAATAAATAGGTGGAGAGGTAAAGAGGCATATGGCTTAGTTCCAAATTCTCCTGGGCACTTAAGAACACTCACTTGGAAGCAGTGCTAACTGTTGGGGTGCCTTTTTCAGGCAGTTGCCAAACCTTTTAATTTGCTTTTCATTTAATTGGGACCATTTTTTTCCTAACGGGCTATTTTTCCCATGGTAGAATAGTTGTAATGAAATGGGTAAGACGCAATACAGATTCTCAAATGCCTTTGCTAGATTTACACTTATCTCCATCCCCTGAAAGTCAGTGTTTGTGTTCTATTAACTGCAGAAGAGGGAGAACCCGGATTGTTTAGAGGGTGCCTATGAGGGGCAGGGGAAAATGAAGGTATTTCAGATGCCTCTTTCAGGAGATAAAAATAAGCAAAGATTGTTAGATGTGAATGGGTGAGTGCTGCTTCTCCATTATACACATATACATATATGATGGGGGAATTAGGGGACTATTCCCAAAATATAATTGGCTGGAACAGCTGCTGGAGTGGTTTATCTTGCCTGTGCCGGCTACTCCTGCTTTCAGCTGCTGACAGCAGCCTTTGGTCCTGGCGAACACAGGGAAGTGCACAGATGGCAGAATTGGTGCTTGAGGGAAGCAAAGATCCTCTCAAGTGGTAGAACAGTGCAGTGGCCTCATTGATCAGAAAGGCTGGGAAGCACTACTGGGATATTTCTGGCTGTTGTGTGCATGGTTGCACAAGGCTGATACTCCTCTAAACTGAGAGTGCTCCTTACTGAACAGCTCTTCCTAATCAGTGCATACTGATGTAGAAATTCTTGATACCCCTTAGGTAATGCAGTGACCACCATCCCTCCTGGCTTTACCTGTACTTAAAGAAATGCTGGGCTGCCAAAGGAGCTTTAGGCAGGACCCAAACTTACTTTTCTGCTGCCAAAATGCAAAATAATTCAGAATATAGTCTGGAGAGGAGTAGGGAGAGAATGTAGGTTCAGGACCCCTGATCTTCCTGTAATTCAAGCACAGTTTTCATTCTGTGAAGCAGAATGTGACTATGGTCTGAAATCTGCTGCTCTATAAATGTATTTTAAGTGCTGTTCAGTTGTGTAAGTTGAAGTGCAACATAATCCTAAGGATGAACTTTCTGTGTTTCTGGAAGGTCTTGCTGTTGTTATGTCAAATTTTTATTATAAAACTCTATAGTAAGAAATAGACACCTTCAATATCAATAGAATATAAAAAGTGTTAAAAAAAAAACCAAAAACAAACAAAAGCACTATGGACCATGTGGACTAACCACAAGTAATGAAAACTCTTTCAGAGGCTATAAAAATGCTTAACTCAGATTAACAAAAGATGCTAAAACTTGTATAAACATTGTCAAGGCAAGATTGGGAATGCTGATTCCAGAGAAATGCCATGTAAAACTCATTATTAAACAGTCTTTCTGATTTAAGGAGCAATTTGGGAGCAATTTAAGGAGCAAATATCTCTGAACTGGTTAGAATGCAGATAGGCACAAGAAACATTCCAGTGAGGAGACAGCGTTAAGAAGCAATGCTGCTAGTTACCTGGTAGAAATGAAAACTAATTCTGCTAATTGGAGTAGCATCAATGGAGCTTTTAATTGTCACTTGAAAGAGAACTACTTTGCATCTCTGAAGGTTACAGAAATGGCTTTTCTGAGAGAGTTTAGTTTCCGAATTTTGAGCCGGTAACTAGTGCATTGCTGAAGATGAAATAATTCACCAGTACCAAACTGCACATTGGCATTTGTTAATAAACAAGAGCAAAGAAATGATTAGTAATTGCATATTAGCCCATGGAACGATCAAAATCAAGTGAAACAGTTGCTAGTGGAGAACAGCAGTATCAGTTTGCTACATGAGCGAACAGCAGTGACAAGATTTTCCTTTCCTGTTACCTGTTAGTGAGGGATCTTCGGTGCCGTCTCCGCATCCCTGGCCATGAAGATGAGCATGGTGTGTCGGAGAGCTTAAGCGTTCCTCTTGTTCTCGTAGGGAGATGGAGTTTTTGTGGGGTACCTTGTTCAGACTTGTGCCCAGACTGCTCACAGGGTTCATCTGTGGGACTTCTGTGGGCTTCCTGCTCGGCGGCTGATAAACCTGACTATAGTGGCCTATGGGATGATATGCTGGTTTCTCAGATTTGCTATCCTCTTCGTCATCATCATCAATGATAACTAACTCTGCGCGGATAACCCCATCGTATTGCGATAACTTTTGGTTTGCCTCTGCATCGTCATCATCAATGCGCTGATAACCCATGAAAATCATAGTTACCGGTTCAGAATCATCCACGTAACATGGCACAGCTTGGACAACGCTGTAGCGAGTATCTTCCTCATCTTGGGGTGCAGGGGATGTTTCATTAGGATGGCAGGGACTTAAAAACCTTGTCTCATTATGTCTTTCTCTGGTATTCTGGGAAGGTTTTAATTCCTCATGTGCAGCTTTTCGTCCTTCATTATGTATCATCCTGTTCTCAGGATTAGTGTGCACATTCTTCTCTGAGTGGGGAAGGACTGGAGAGGGTGACTTTGGCTGTATTACCTTTGGAAGATCAAGACCATTCTCTTTATGTTGCTGCATAAAGGGCTCTGGTTTTGAGAAGAATTCTGTCTGATGATTGCTAAATCCATTCATCTCTCTTCTATGAGTGTCTTCCAGTTTTGGTCCAGGAACTAATTTGTCTTTCTGAGGGGTAACTGGCCTGCAAAACTTGTTTGCATACACAGGCTCATGGTACTCTGTGGGAGACTGGGAATTCTTTTCAGTTGCCTGCCGTAGCAGGTCCTCCACCTCAACAGGAGCAAGTTCATCCACCCCATTTTGTGTTGTGCTGCCGTTTGAGGACACTGCATAGACCGACTTCCTGCCATCATCATAGACTTTAATTCCTGTCTCTTTAAACTCCTTTGAGGGAAGAGGTATTGTTGACAACACTGTGTTTTCTCCTGTCTTCATGTCTTTTTCAACTTTAATTTCCATGGCAAACAGTGCTGTGGAAAGAAACAAGTGTTTAAACTGATAATGCAGCAGCTGCACAGTGTATTATAAAGAGTTCTGATAGTGATAGAGAATGAATGTCAGAATTATCAAACACATGAAAGTATCACAAACATAACCAATATATTGGATCCTCATTTTGAATGTCCCCTTTCATCCTGTCAAAACTTGAAGTTGTGAAAAGAAAAACATTTTTGTTTGGATCCAATTCTGTGTGGAAAAACATACTGTTGAGGAGCCAGTTTTCATAACCTGGCTGAGAAAGCCAGGTTTAACAGTGGGCCATGGTGCTGTGCTGGGCAGCAGCAGTTGAAAGAGCTCAATGTGATACAAGACTGAAGAGTCTTGAGTACTTGGAAGGGTTAGGAGCCTTTGTGGGAGGTGGGAAATAACCAGACTACTGCCCAGTAGGTGTAAGTGCGGATAGAAAATGAAAAGTATCTGATATGAAAGGAGGAACTACTGTTTGTAATGTTTATCCTTCCCTTAAATTGTGTTAGATTCAATTGATAGGAATATCCTATGTGAGCAGCAGATAAAAGGAGGTGATCCTGCCTCTCCACTCTGCTCTTGTGAGACCCCACTTGCAGCACTGTGTGCAGCTCTCGTGTCCTCAATATAAGAAGGGCATGGAACTGTGAGAACAAGTCCAGAGGAGGCCATGAGGATGAGCAGGGGCTGGAGCAGCTCCTGTATGGAGACAGGCTGAGAACGTCGGGGCTGTTTGGCCTGGAGAAGCTGTGTGAGACCTCAGAGCAGCTTCCAGTGTCTGAAGGGGCTACAGGGATGCAGCGGAGGGACTCTGCATCAGGGACTGTAGTGATGGGACAAGGGGTGATGGGATCAAACTGAACCAGGGGCAGTTTAGGTTAGATCTAAGGCAGAAGCTCTTCCTTGTGAGGGTGCTGAGGCGCTGGCACAGGGTGCCCAGAGAAGCTGTGGCTGCCCCATCCCTGGCAGTGCTCAAGGAAAGGTTGGATGGAGTCTTGGGTGACATGGTTTAGCGTGAGGTGTCCCTGCCCGTGGCAGGGGTTGGAACAGGATGAGCTTAAGGTCCTTTCCAACCCAAACCATTTTATGATTCTATATTGGCAGCCTTTGAAGTTACTGATAAGCAGTACCTTTCCTCTTCTCTTCGTCATCAGTGGCAGCATGTGCTGGACTTCTCAGTGTGGAGGGCCTGAAATGCTTGGGCAGGTCAGGTATGCTGGCATATATGTAGTCTGCCTCTGAATAAAGGAGATGCACAAAGCATGAGTATGCTTTCACTGACTTCTGCAGGAACCTTTTGGAAATATTTTTTTAGGCTAAACATACCTTTTTCAACTCCTGCTTTTTCAGCCTTCACAGACTAGGAAAGAGAACCATTAACAATAAATGCAATTAGTTAGTTTTAAGATGTTAACTAGATAGTGCATTGCTTTACCTGCTAGTTTTAACTTTCTCTGGGCACAGCTTCATAGTGAGAAGGGCTAAAAGTGGAACCTGCTCTGTGGGAGCATGGCAAGGGAGAAGGGGACATTTTTGAGGCCTCTTTTGCCAGTGTGATTCCAAGTCACACAGGGGAAGGCGGGACATAAAAAACTAGTCACCCAGCCTCACGCTGTGGCCCAAGCTGATTGCCTTCAAAGGTTTCACTTCAAAGTTCTACTTTGGCTTTCCTGTTGTACTTATCTCCCTGCATATCTTTTAGAGAAAGCATCTGTGTGCATGAACAACTGTAGAACTATAAATTTCAGTTTCATCACTATATTATTTGAGATTATTTAAGATGGTTTTTAAATATTGGAATGACATTTTGACAAAGACTAATGACTAATATTAAGTCATGTTTCACTATACCCTCTCTCAGGGACTTGGAGTAAAAAGCATAATGCAGTTTAACCAGCCACATCACCTGGAGGGGTATGAATAGATCAATCTCTGCATTCACTTGGTACCTCTTAAATCTTTCCCTGGCTGAGATGCAAAGTTGCTGGTTGGTGGCAGTGCTATGGATAAGGGATGATAGGAATTGCTCTCCCACCCCCATAAACTAGCAAATGGAGACGTTTGGGCACTTGAACAGTATAATATCTCAACTCCTCTTGTATTTGAACTTCTGTCACTTCAGACAATAGCTCATGACTGCTTGCAGTGCTCATGTCTACTTGCACTACTCATGACTACTAGCAGAACCAGCAAGTTCCACTTTCCCTGGTTATTATGATAAATGAGTAATGAATTCTACTTCTGGAGTAATATGGCACTAACCTTTATTATGTCTTCTGTTGTTTTCTCAACAGACTTAAGTTTCTTTAAAATTGCTTCTTCCTTAGCTGAGACTTCCATTTCTTCTCTTTCCAGGGCCTCAATTTCCTTCTCCAATCTGCAATCACAATTCCTTTTGATTTGATACTAGGCAGAGAACAACATTGCAGATATTATGCACTGTGATTGTGCACATTAGTGGGGCTGATTCTACTTACCCAGTTGGATTCTGCTGGAATATGAGATTGGCTTATCACTTTGCATGCATCAGGAAATGCTGTGAAACTGTATTCTTTTAAAGCAAAAATGAATCTGCCATAGATTCCTTCTGGTTCTACTTTTCCATGAATATGTAGGATTAAGTTCAGATTTAACTCTGAACTGGGACTTGAACTGGATGTCTCGCTATAGAATCATAGAATCAACTGGGTTGGAAAAGACTTTTAAGATCAAGTCCAACCTTTACCCAACTGCTGCTAAGTCCACTACTAAACCATGTCACTACGAGTATAGCACCCACTTATAGGTGCTATATAAGTGAGTTCTGGTTTATCTACCTTTTCCTTTTGGGGATTGTTTTTGGAAGAATTTCTTTTAACTTGAAGGGAAAACCAAGCAAATTTTAAAACCTTCTGCATTGGAGTAAAATACATCTTCCATTGGTTTTGAGTCCGTCAGAAACCAATGGCTGTAGACTTAAGGCAACTGCAGCTGATACCACTGGTTGCCGAGATCAGTCGGAAGAGTTACAAGTAAATGATCTGAGCCAGTTGCAAATAGAGTAATGATGTCCTATAACCCTGATAGAGACAACTGTTTGATGTTTTGACTTATTCTTTATTGTGTTTTAGGATGCACGATATTGCACCAAAGTCAATGGTAAGAATAGAAGCCTGTCATCCTTTTAAGCAGACCAGACAAGTTGAATGCAGGCTGACAGAAACACATTATTTGTTTCTTTGTGTGTGACTGCTTAAGGAGGCTGAATTAACACTGTGGCCCTTGCCTTATTTAAACTCAGATTTGTAGACCTATAATAATAGGATACTACATGGACTGTTATCTGCAGTGAGAATATCCTCTTTTTTGAAACACAAAGATATCACAGACCTCAGAACTGAGATGTGAGGAAAAAAGGCATTAAGGATGAAAGTAAAAGCTAAAAAAAAAAAAAAGGTAAAAATTAAAAGCTGATCCCACTTTGGACCTAAGCTTTGCAAGAAGCTTAGGGTGCCCTTAGGACCCTGCTCAAAGGTACTGGTTATAAGTGCTAAAACTATATGAATACTCTTGGAGGGCTATATAAGTAAACCAATGACCATGTGCCATGTTTCTGCATTTCTTACAGATTAGTATTACCTTAAGACATTGAAATGTTTTTTTACATGAGGCTTGATGGCAGTATTATCATAATATGGAAATTAATCATTGAAAGCTCACAGAAGCATAATGAACTGAAGACTCATCTGCTTTTACTACGGATTTATTTCAGTCTGGACTCTAAACGCTCCTGGTGACAGGTGGAAGAAGAGGAGGAAAAATCCTGGAAATGTTTTAAAGAGGGAGTGGGGAGCGGAAAAAGAGAAGAGACAACCCCAAATAAATCAAAGGTTATAAACCCTATATGGTTATCTGGGAGATCAGGAGAAGTATTATTAAAGTTTATGTATGCTGTCACACCCATACCAACACCCACTGTGTATGGTAATTAACATGACTGATTCACTGCTCAGTGTGCAGTTAGGGAAAAATTCTCATACCCCTGTAATGGGAATTGCATCTACACCTTAAGTATCTGTTTTTGCATTCATACTTGCATATAGACATAGATTTTAGGATTAATTTTCAGAGGATGCTGGGAGTGTGCACATGGGAATTTGTTGAAAGGAGCCTTTTAAAAGATACAATCTGTAGAGCTCAGACTGACTCTGAACCCAGAGCTCTGACTTGGTGCAGTTGAGAAGTTAGGCTGCGATCTTTCTGATGTGTTTAAGTCTTTAGAAACATCCAAATAAATGGCATTTTATGAAGTTACATCACAGTTTGTATATGAATATGAAAGGGTCTAGCAGCTACACTAGCAATGATAAGAAACTATCGATGGTGCTGCTGTGCGTTGTAGAGAAATGGGAGTATGATATAGCTGTTTTATTAAACCCTTTGGAGATTTATCCTCTCCTTGAGTAGTGCTCATTATTTGAGAGGGGAAATAAGTAGTGTGGAGGTGTGGATGGAAGATGGAACTTTAGAAGCTGAGATACTAAATTGGAGGTTTCTCTCCAAAGCAACAGCTGAATGAAGACATTCCGCAGAGTATGCCTGACTGCTGCTGGCCACTAGCTATCTGCTGGGGTTGGCACCACTGCCACCCCAGAAGAAAAATAAACAGCTTAAGGATGAAAAGCAGATAGGAGGATACCACCCTGGCACATACAAGACTGAAAGGAGAAGGCAGTTTAGCAAGTCCTCCCATGTTTTGAGGTGAGTCACAATCTTTAGCAGGTCTTGAGTCTATACAGCCTTAGCCTACCTTCATTTATCACATTAGAAAACACCCATCAGAATCATAGAATGGTTTGGGTTGGGAAGGACCTTAAGATCATCCAGTTCCAACCCTCTGCCATGGGCAGGGACACCTCTCTTAGTTACCATGATGTTGTTTGTGCATTTTTGAGTGCTATTAGCTGAAGATTAAATGAGAAAATGGGGCTCCTCATTCTTCATTCAGCTTGTACCCTAACCAAGGACATTCTCCCTTGGCTCACTAACTTCTAACATGTAAAGGGGGTGAATAGGACAGATAACATAAATGCTATTTTTGGTCTATAACCAGAACATTCAGCTATTTGCCTGCAAGGTGGTTCAAGGCACTTGCTCTTCACTGGTTTGTTGTTGATACAAAGAATGGAGCTCTCTTTTTTTTACCAAAAAATGCTCAAATCCAAACTGATAAGCTCTTTTTGACATCCCAGTAAAGAATATTTTAAAACAGAGGCCCCATTTAGAAGGGTGATGGAAAAGCCCATCCATGCCACTACTGTAAATAATCTGCCTGCAATTGTTATTGTCCTCTCAGCAGAAAGAAACAAAGACTGGTCTAAGGGTATTCAAAAAATCTTTAAAGTGATTCAGATGTTTCAACTAAAGGTAAAAGCCACCCAGAATAATCAGCAGAGTGCAAAGAATTTGTCTGAATCAAGTGAAGTTTAATAGATGCTCAGAAGAAAGAACTCTACTGAGCTTCTCAGTAATATAAGTTACTGCTGCTGCATGACAAGTGTCTACATGATCGGTTTAGCAATCTTTGATTTACAGGGCAGGTTAAAGGTATGACTTCACATCTATGTAGTCAAACAAGCTTTTGTTAGCTTGGGTGATATGTATAGATTAGCAGAAGCACTACGCAAGTACTGTATGGTGCATTTTTTGTGCTTTTCAGTGGACTTCATTCATACTGAGCTCTGTGTTACTGGGTTTCTGTATTGCTGCTGGCAGGTTTGAAACCGGGCTGGGTATGTCTAAACAGAATGTAATGATATTTGGAAGGCAGCATGGATGTTTTTCTAGAGGCCTTTGCTAGACAGCTATTGAAGAAGAGTGGTAAGAAGTATGGTTTATAACAAAAGATGCTCTATGTGAATAAATCTGCTTTAATTCCTAGTTCAGAATGAAGGTCCTACTTGACTCCAAGTATGTTCTTCTGCCTCCATTCTCCATCTGTAAAATCAGGTGTCCTTGTATGAGTCCTCTGTGTATCGTGAAGATAAAAGCTGCTAAAGACATTAAGGTGTGTAGATTGTGTGGTTATGAGAGTATCTCAGTAATGAAAATGTCTTTTGGTATCAAGGCCTTAAAAACCTCTAAGAACTTCATCAGTTTTAAATTAAGTCCTCTTAGTTCAGGGTGGCTCAGAAATGTAAGTAGGAGCATTTCTGTACTGACTTTCATTTCTAGAATGCATTAGACCTGTGAAGTTGTAAGAGTGAAGGCAGTGTCATTTTGTGTTGTATTTTCTTTGTCAGTTCATCTTTTCATCTTATCCTGATGCAATTTGATGCATTTCACTACAAAGAAATCTGAAGTATTTCAGATGTACATCAAGAAATAGGAATCGTTTTAAGGAAGAAACAATTTGGTGGAGCTTCCCAGGAGAAATTCATAGGCAAGAAAAGTTAGTTGGTAACACTAGTGGTAACAACAAATGGCTGTGAAAATACTTATTCTGCCATGAAAAAAGAACAAATTGCCACGAAAAAAGCAGTGCATGTATATATGTATATATATGTGTGTATCTATATATATATATATATACACATAAAATAAGGGGAACTATTTACAGGTTTCATTAAACAAGTGTAGTAAAACAAATTGCCTTATAATCCTGGAAAAAAGTATAGTATATTTTTATAAGAGAAGAAAGTCCAGAAACTACAAACATTTACTGCACTTCTTTCCACTGTAGTGCTTACGGTTTCAAGTAAACTTATTTAATTTCATTATCAGCAGCATTTAAATGGCTGGTTTATGGTCTGAATATCAGCCATCTAGACAGGCAAGCATTACTTGTACTTGTCATTAACTGAATCTATGTGGGAAAAGAATTCCTACCTAACACATTTCTCCTAAGTGCAGGCATATAAAAGGACACTATTGGGAAAGAACCCAAACAAAATAACCCAAACCAAATAAACCCCAACAAAAATCAAAAATGCAAATCACAAACCAGAACCAACACAACAGATGAGACCTCTCATCCCTGCATCCCACCTGCATGGGAAAGGAATTCTAAATTTTTTTTTTTTTTTGTATATGCTGAATGTTAATCAAGTCTCTGGCAAAAAATTCCATTGGGAAGGTTGCAGGCACATGTCTATAGTGAGGCTGTTACAGTCTCAGACATACATCAAGTGTACAAGCTGAGGAGCCTCAGCCCTGTTTGGTGCAATGCTCTTGGTTGTGTGATGTGGTACTAAATGTGCAGTCTTCTCATTCACAATGTGTCTGCATCTGCTCCCTGTAATTACCAAAACTAGAGACAGGCTGAGATGTTACTCCAGGATTCATGTTGTGATTTCAGAAAGCAACTGGGGACAAATGATGGGTTTGGCACCTTAATTTCTCTCTCCTTAAAGCAAAGATCCATTTAGAAATCTTCCTTTAAATGCCTGTGGGTGTCCTTTAAAAGACCTGGAAACTTCTAATTCAGATAAACTTTAAAATTTGTAATCCTTTGTCAGATTTTGGATCCAATCTAGAGTTAAAGCAGAAGGAATATTCCTTTGTGATGCTGATTCACATCCATGAATTAGAGTTCTCCAGGTTTGAAGCTTCAGCTGGATTACTGTTTGATTATTTGAAATAGAAATAAATTCTAGTAACGCTGAAAGGAAAAGTTGATATGGATAGGAGGAGTAAAGCTCACTACATGTGCTCAGTTTTGGTCTCTGAGGAAACAGAAATTAAGGCCACTGACCTGACAACAGATTGGGGACAGTCATTACAAAAACAGTATCAAAAGACTCTACAGCTGTAGATACAAACTCAGGATCCTGGGAGACATGGGAATGAAACAATCAACCCTATTTGTTGAAGTCTCTGAATTGGTATTGTAGGAGGAGTTTTAATTCTTAATCCTGAGTTCTAGGTCTTCCCAGAGATAGGGCAGGAGGGATCTGCTGCCAGCATTACTGTGAGAGCTCAATTACAGTGACTGAGGTGCAAAGAGCCCTGAAAGTGTGTTATGAGGGGACAGACTAGATTTAGATGCTGGAGATGCAGTATGCTTCTTGCTAAAAGATTTTGCTGGTTTTAAGGCAGGCAGGATGTCAGGAGTTCAGTAGCTTTCCTTTTTAGTGGCACAGACATTGACAGATCTCCACTACAAGAGCATTGCTTGTTCTTCGCCTGGATGTTGTCAAAAGAATTTGGAACAGTGTAAATGTAGGTTATGTCAGAACAAAAGCATCCTTCTTCCAACAGCCACACACCAAACCGAGTTTTTGACTTGGTAGCTTTAAAAGCTCAAAGTCAGTAGGAATTTGAAAGTCCAATCTGTCCTCCCAGTGCTTGAAGCGGGGCTGAACTTCCAGGGGGCTGGTGGGGAGCTGCTTCCTCATTGCTCCTGAGCCAGTCACACAGCTTCCCCACACAGCTCTTTCCTAGTGATCACACAGTCATAGGGTGTGCACTCTTCCCTGTCTTCATTATCACAACCTGCTGCGATGTTCTTAGAGCTCCTGCCACTGCAGTCAATTCTACTGATGTGTGTGAAAAGCTGTTTTGTTGAGAAAAGATGCTTTCAAGTAAGAAGTCACCATAATTATAGGAGCAGCTAGCATTGGGATGCTGCCTGTCGGAGAGATGGATTATGGAGGTGGGTTGGAGATAATTAGGCTTTGCCAGGAGAGTGTGTGTGGGAAGATAGTGGAGGAAGAGCATGGAGGAAGTTGCTATTGAACTGAAATAGGGGAAGAAGCCTCAAAAAGTGATGATGAAGCTTTCCAGAATCTAAAGAAACAGGAGCGCTTCACCATTTCTGTAGGTGCTACTTCGTAGTACCAGTCAGTATGCCTGGACCCAGGGAAGGAGCTGATTGCGTATGGAGCCCTGTGGCATTTGAGAAAGGCTAAGTGTAGTAATAAGCACCTAGAATCATGTCCACAGTAAGTAAAGGAGCTGTATATGAGACTGTCTGTGCAGTTTAATGTTAGCCCCATGTGACAGGCAGACCCTAGGCAATGAGATTTGTAGGAACATCTCTAATAAAAGGTAGAAAAAGGCCTTTGCTAGGCTCCCAGGAATGAACTGAGGACAAAACAGCATGGGAAATAAGTGAAAATCAGGCAAAGGATACTGACAGGGCTTGTACTGTTCTGAAGTGTGGTAATGGTAGAAATCAGGTGTTAAAGGCTTTGCAGGACCTAGTAAAACTGAAGAACTTCTAAAACTGCTTACTGTTGTTTTGAAATTCTGGTCCAACCACTGCTAACTCAGAGCAAAACGCAGGGATGGGTGATCTATGATGTGTGAGTATAGCATGGGAGGGATAGCTGGGATTAGAGATACGAGTATTCTTCAAGATACTCATTGTGCGTAAAATTCACAGTATGGGAGTTTGCATTGTGCATTCCCTAATTTTATCAGACTAAAAAATATAACAAAGCTGCTTTCCTTTGTGTATCAAACTGCCTATACTTAGCCTTACTGATGTCTTTTTACAAAATGAAGTAGGACTTTAAGAAGGGACCATTTAAACCAGAGAGAAGGGCTGGGGTATTACCCTACCTGAAGATGTCTCGTTCTAGCTCATGAGTTTGTTGTTGGTCCTCCTGATTCTGCTTTTGCATTTCTTCTTGCTCTTTTGGGGTGATAGAACTAAGGCCATCCAAGAGCCACTTTTCTCGCAAGGCCTTTTTCTGATGGGGAAAAACACAGACAAGTTAATGTACTTGAAAAGTTAGGCTCTTCAAACATTTACTGTATTTGTGTTGACGCCGTAGGTGTGATCTGCATTCCTGTGCTGTATCTAGCAGAAAGCAACTTGACAGCAGTGAGCGCCACTGAAAGAGAAATATTGAGGAACATTTGTGTTTTGAGACTGACTTAAACCCAAACTGGTTAAGAACAGTGTCCCATTAATCCACCCAATAAATACCTAGAGGATGCAACTAATCAGTTAGTACCTGTAACAGATTTATACCTGTTAGTGGATCCAGCGGTGTGCTTGTCCTCAATACAGCAAAACAGTTGTATCAAAGCACACATATGAGACGCATGCAAAAGGCTCCAGTTAGAAGTGTACAGTTCTATTTCAATAGCCCTGATTCCTGGGGTCATGGCATTGTGTAACTTCTGGGAGGAGGTATAAGACGTGAAAATTTCAGTAGGTAAGGCTGTAGGGGGAAGAGATCTCTAGGGAGTGAGTAATGCAGTGGTATCTCTGGAGTTTATAAGGTAACTTATATAGATGGGGATTGGGACTGGACGGAAAGGCAGAGCATGGGTAGCTGATGTCTGGTTCATGTCTCGGCAGATGTGCTACGTGTTTAGAACCCCTCTTGTAGGGGCAATCCAGGGCTTACGTGTTTAAGTTCTGAACCGTTTAGTGCCTGTGGAGTGATGTCTGGGCAGTAGAGGCTTATAACTGGGTGTGTTACATGTGTTCAGGTGAGTAAACCTCTCAGCTGTGCTTTCAGATAGTGAAAAATAAGACTGTATCCACTGGTTTTCTATAGCTGCTTTACAATAGGAAAGGTGGCAGCTGAAAATCAACAGAGGTTTCCAAAGTATTCCTAATGTAAGAAAATATTCATGGAGATGAGTTCCTATTTGCAGTTAGAGGTTGTAAACCATGCAACCTTCATTGTGCTCTTTTTACTCCCTTCAGACTAACTCAGGAATAGAAATTCAGTTGCTGCCTTGGGGAAGAAGTGGGAGTCAGGGCTCCTTAGGAAAACTCTTTCAACAGGGGAGGAAAAGGATGCGTAGAAGGCTTTTCATCAACCATGACTTTTCCATTTGTAATTTAGGTTCCTTGAGCTGCCTGACTTCCATGCATGGGTTTTTGGGTTTGTTTTTTTCCTCTATCTAGTTTGATTAATTGTAGGATGTAGATGAAGGTTAAATTGGATTTTGGCTGCTTTGAGGCAGAGCTGTGCCCAGCGCTGATGAGAAGGCTGCATTAACCTTAGTGCCTGTTGGAAGCCCTGCCTGCATCCTGTGTGTTGAGTCACTTAAACCATTGCTTCCTCCACTTTTCTGTTTACTGTACACTTTACATGATGTTACTATTGACACCCAGCTGATGAGGAGGATGCACGTAGGAGCAGATTGCAGTTAAAGGCTATTTTCAGCTTGCTTCATGGCTGATACACATGATGTGATAGAAACTGTAACTAAAACAGGGATGTTGGGAATTCTGTACCACTCCATGGTACTGGAGTGTTTCCAGTTGTTTTAGCCTTGTGGGATAGTATTCTTTATCTCAGTATTGGATCCTAGGACATCTCTGGGCAACAAGGGCTGCTCCAGACTGATGTCTTGAGCCTTGACCCTGTAGGATCACTTAGCAGCACTTCCTGGCAGTTTTGTCTTAGGGTTAAATGAAATAAATGCAGACTTTAATAGGATGGTTTTACCTGATCTGGTAGGTGAATGTAGGCTGGTGTTGGCACAACTCTTGCTGACCACAAAACCCTGTTTTCTTCAGTTGCAGGGAATAGGGTTCTTAATTCCCTTTTCAATCAAGCTAATGAGATCTTACTGATAAGTAGAGCTCCTAGAAAAGTGGAAGTTTTTTTTGAATTCTGGCTTGAACAGAATTATTGTAGCATTGCTGTCTCCAAAAGTCTCAATTGTAGACCTCAGAAACTGATAACACCCATTGCAATCACCAAAAGTTTCATGTATGTATAGGGTTAGGCCCAAGAAAACAAACTCCTTCAATACCGGCAAAACACAATAGTGTTATTTTTGCCCTTTCCTCCAATAGTTTGGTGCTGCTCCCAACTCAATGCCATGTGATCTTTTAAATTTAATGAGACACTTTTAAAAGAGTGGCACATTGCGCAGTTTGGAAACAGCCTCTGAGCAAGACAGTTTCAGGGCTGCTCCGCTGAGGCATAGGCACAAGCCAGTGCAGGAGCAGTTGCTCTGAGGGGGATGTGGGGCTCTTTCTGCTGCCCAGCATTTCCTTCTGCTGTGAAGTTCAGTACTAGGTGGTGCATGTTACAGGATTACATGAAAGCATTTCATTTTGCATTAGGCTGAGTATGTTAAGGGAAAGGGATACTTCTACACTGATGTGATAAGACCCTGGAATGACAAGGGTGATGTAAAGTCATCACTTTTGTAGTTCACGGTCACATCAGGAGTACTGCCATAATATTCTGCATAGTCTATGAATAATGTCCTACACATGCTCCAGGCACAACTCCACTGTGATCCTTAACAAGGCTAGACTAACAATCCAAGCTTCCTCCTTTGCTAGAAGGCGCAGGTGTGTTGGATTTGTGGGTCTTGCTTTACCATAGTATGGCAGTTCACCTTATGGTATGTTGGGGGAGGCATAAATCATCTTTACAGCTTTTACAGATGATGTAGTTGAGTGCTCTTAACTCCTGGAATAAAAAGGTGTGTAACCAACGCCTACAAGGTAGTAGCCGTGGAGTTCTGGGATGTCAGAAGCCAAAAACTTAATCAGTAAACTAAAAAAGCTCTTGGAAAGCACATGTGAATCAGTGTTGATTATGCTTTTCAAGCAACTCTGGTCCTTTCCCTTGTTGCCTCAGTGAGAAGGATCCCAATTAAGAGGAAGAATTAGTTGTTAGTGCATCTAGAATGACCTGAGGATGAAATTTCCCTTGTACCCTCACCGGTAGCCTCCGTTACTGCTTGCAGTTCCCATGGACCCCTAACCACACAGGTTGCGTGTATTTGCTTGCATGTCCTCTGCTTCATGTGGTTAAAGTGCGCATGTGCGGTATAAATATTCCTTCTCCAGTATAGTTCCACCAGATAAATAAGACCTGTTATGATACCCCAGCTGTCTCTTTCTAGTAAGAATTTAGCCTGGGGACAGCAAAGTCCTTGGGAAGCTGAAGCAGAGATTCCTATTTATGAAAAGGAAGTTTAAATGACCAAACCCTCCCCACCCTCCTCCAAACAACAACCTTTTAATAAACCTGTCACTAAGGGTTATAAATAGGAATAAAGACAAAATGAGGAACAGGATAGTGATATCCCGCGAACAGGAACATCCGTATGACAGTGAGATTTACTAACCTGCAATAGTTTCCTAAGGGACAGGTGTGAGTTAATGTCAAATAGGTCATGGAGCTCTAGATTTCACCATGCACAACTAGTAGGAGTATAAATGAGTGAAGTCAACTGGACTCGCTAGGGAAATGAGCCTCAGAAATAAAATCTACTGAAGTGCCTAAACATTTTAGTGTTCTAAATCCAGTTTAAGGCAATTTCTCCTCTAGATTCTTGTGTTGTTTGACTCCATTGAAATACCTGAGTTAATCTGAAGCATAAATGGGTTTGCTAAAGGACAAGGCTTCTAGGGCATCAACAGCGGATGTTCATATAATAATGTTACATTTGCTATTAGGTGCCTTAGTACTCAGTTGGAAAAAGTAGTCTCCATTTTGGGTTCTTAATCCCTCTTTGCCTAGTGAATCATTTCCTCTATAGATCCTTGATTTGCCTCATGCAATCCGACTGATTTTAATTTAAAAACCTTTCTGTATGATAAGTGTACAATTTTTTTTCATAGAACAAGCAAACAAATCCCATCCTCTGTCCTCTCTCAAAGGAAGAGCATGTCAGTAGTGTTTTTCCAGGGATGTTTTAGCTTCTGCAAAATTCCATGACTGAGTGCAAGGTGGCTTTAGCTTTTTGTTTTCTTAACTTTTTAACTCCATTGTACCTATTAGTGTTGGCTGAAGACATGTAGTAAATCAGTAAGGAAGCTGCCCTAGGGCTTGATCTGTAGTAGCAGTAAGGATTAGCTGGTTGTCTAGAATAGATCAGTTTATCCTTTATAAAAGAAGGGCAAAAGAGTCATTCTGAAGTTACAGGCATGGAAACTTGGAACGTAAATTACAGTGCTCCACGTAACCATGTACTAAGTTGGAGGAAGAGTCACATTTACCGCTCATTAGTTCCAGGACTTGGAAAAGTTATTCTCCTCTTTTAGGTAAGATTACGGTCGCCTTCCAATAAATCCTAAGCATGAGTGACTTTTGCCTTGGCTTTCCTGGCCCAGTGAGCTAGTTGATCACAACTTCTCGTTTTTTTGGCTTGACTCAAAAGAAGAGGGTGGATGAAACCCAGGATTAAGTCCCTATTTCGAAGAGGAGTCTGTTTTAAATATGCTTTTCCCACATTTGCTCAAGTACACGTGCCACATTCCTGGCATCGGATTCAATGTTTCTTTCTTGAAACTGTTTATCCACTCACATGATTAAAAGGGTATGTAAAATACCAAGTCCTGCATATTTCTAGAAGCATAGATTTCTGTCTCATCTCCCTAAATGACATGTAGTGCATGTTGCATTAGACATTTGTGTAAAAATCGCTGCAATTTCAAGGGTCTACAGACATGGATCTTTTGGTTTCTTAGTCATTTGGCCCTTGTAATCCTGAGTTTGCCACCAGGCCATAATATACAAAGGAACATCATTATTTCAGCACAGAGTCATTGCACAAGCTGACAAAACCAAATTAGAATAGGCTATTACAAATAAAAATAGGCTACTAATGGTTGGACTTGATGATCTTAAAGGTCTTTTCCAGCCTGGTGGATTCTGTGATTCTGTATTTCTACTTTTTTGATTTCCCAGGAAAACAAGTGCAATGAGAGCTCATGGCTGTGCTGCACCCTGTACCGAGGGAGGCTGCTGTAGTGGAATTAAGGAATGAACACACCCAGTCTGAAATGGGAGACTTAATTTTCAGCTGTGAGTTATTCCTGGTTATGATCTCATTTTATACCATGAAAGTGATCAAATAACATTAGCTCCTGAGTGTAGGTTTGTTTTTTTTCAAAGAGTGATGCTTATTAAAGTCAAATGGAGTTGTGGCAAGACTCCAGAAAGCTGTGAAAATTTGATAGTAAAAGCACAACTTAAATGCATGAAGATTTGCATTCCCAAATCCCAAACATTTATTCATGCTGCACGACTCGAGGCTATCTTTAGCGACATAAATCCAACACTCACCTTTAAATGTTGGTGTTTCATTTTTTCCTCTTCCACTTTTAGACGTTTCTGCGTAATTTCTTCTTGCAGTTTCCTTTTGTCCTACAGATTAAGGGAACAATAAAACTTTGTTTAGAGAAATTCCTTCTTGTTTAAAAACAACTTGGTGGTGTTCAGCAGGGAGAAATCAATCCATGCAAATAAAGCCTTATTTTAAAGCTTACATGGCACTTGGTGCAGAATTCTTAGCAGCACCAGCTTATGTATCTTACGCAGGTATGGTTTCTATTACTCCTTCTCTGAAGGACATCTAAACATGTTAATGACTGCAAAGCAGTGAGCTGAATTAAAAATCGTTTACTTTTGTCAAGGGTAAGGGAAGAAAATAGGAAGAAATACCCCTTGAACACAATTGTGCATGCAAAATGAAGCTAGAAATGAGTCCAGACCAAAATTCCTAAGGCAGCCCACATGCCATTTAGGAGAGGAAAGAGTCTGCATGGTCTGCATTGTGATACATTGCTAAGTGAAATGGGCTATTAGTGAATCCAGCTCTGATATCTGGCTGATATTGTGGCTGATATCCGAAATAAATAGGGATAAACAAAGACTTAGAAATATATTTCACTAGTCAAATAGTGGTAAAGATGAACACAGAGAAACTTAGTATGCTTCATATATGTTGTTTTCTCTCAAAGATGTTTGTCTTTGCAAAGGCTGCTGAACTAGAGAAGGCAAAACCCAAAATAATATTGATCTATAATAGTGCCACCTTCATCCTTTTTGCTACAGATTATAGGAAAAAGGTGATGGGTGAACAGTCTGAATGCTGGAAACACCTGAGCCTCTTGTGGTTCTGGATAGCTGCTGTCACATGAAGTGTCCCTGTGGCTCCTGTATATGAGGCCAAATGCTGATTTAGTACTTTGTGTCCTCAGCAGCCACTGGGAAAGAAATGATGCCAAAGGAAGATGACTTTTACAAGCTGTATTTATAGGCTCTTGGTCAACCCTAATGCTGCACAATCCTGTTACTGGACATGGCAGCTTTTGGACTTGTTTCTTGGTATGCTTTAGGGAGGTAAATGAAATAGTCTTGTCTTGTGCTGAAGTATTTGCTGACTGGAGGTTAATCCCCCTTTCCTTTCAGTTGGAACAGATTACTGATGGGTTCTGTTCACAGAGTCTGCTTTCAAACAGGTGTGGTTTAGGAAGGAGTTAAGTCACAAACATAGGAAGAGACTTGTTGTTTTGGCCCACCCAAGGAACCAGCAGCGTGTAAGGAGTGTGGAAAGTTGGTAAGGAAGTGTTGGGCATAAGGCTGAGAGTTGTTCTCCACTGTTTCCCTAGGATCTGGGATGTGGAAACAGGAAGAGCTGTAGTGTACATGGCTGAATCACTTCACTGTTACTGGAAATCAGAAATTAGCAGTGGGACCACAGGCTATAGGGATGCTTTGTCAAAGAATAGGAAGGAGAAGAAACCACCTAGCCTTGTAGAGATCGAGGGCAGGACTATAGGCTGTCCAAGCATAACTGATGGTATGCTGGGGTTTGGCAGGTGAATGAGTGTCAGTGATCTCTTCTGTCATGCAGTCTCTAATGGTTAGTAGCCATCTGTAAACACCATCTGTACTTCACAGTTTCAGAGTTAGTCCGCCTCTTTAACACACCAAATGAGGCAAGATACATACTTGCTCTAAGATACATGCTGCCTTCACCCCTGTAGTGGTTCTGAGTTTTGCCAATGTTCTTTAATACATGCTTTAGGATCACTACAATATGTAATTTTTCTGCGCTGTCCCTTTTTGAAGACTCTCCAAGAGCTGCTGTGCTGGAGTTTACTCAACCTGTCCTGAGTTTGGTGACATAGCATCTGGTCTTTGACCTTCACACCTTTCCTTAATTAGGAAATATTCCTGATCTCCTTGTATAAACGGGCTTTAACTAACCCATCATTAGATGAGTGCGACAAGCTTGTGTATGCAGACTGTTACAATTCTGAAGAAACCTGCTTTTTCTCTTTACTAAGGTTCTGGGTAAGATTCTGAGCCAGAGAACGACTTTTACTTGGTATATACTATGAAAAACATTTTAAGTCAATTTAAATATTCCTTTTGCACAAATGGAGATGTATAATGAGAATTTGGGTAGTCTGAAATGAGAAGTGGCACACACAAATACTGCACAAAAGAAATCGGAGTGTAAAGGCACAAATAACTTGATTTGAAGTTAAACGTGTAATAAGGAACCTGTTCAGTAATGAAACTTTTGCCTGTTTCTTTTGTTATGTTTCTTTTGAATCCAGTATTTTTTTCACTTCAAGGTTTCTGCTTATATCCTTTGGTGTTCTAGCATGTTTTAATTTCACTGGTTGGTAATAAACATCCATTATACAATTATCCAGATGTAATAGGTTAAAATAGTTGGTCTTTTATATATTAAAGCTGTAGGTCTAATGCCAGAAGCTAAATTCAAGTGAGATGTATGAGGAGCCTCTTTGAACCTTGTGTTGCCAGCATAACTTCTGAAACCTGTTAGGACGCTTCCTGCAATGTGTTCTGCTGTGCTTTGTCTGTGAATCCTGTCTTGCTGAGCAAAGCTTTGACGGCACATCTGATGGTATCATTTCTTATTCCTAGATAGCTAGCTAAGGGACCTATACTTCTACTAAACTTCATACTCTGCTCCTCTAGGTAATCAGGTTGCTGGCAGAAATCCTCTAATCCTTTCTTACTATGCTCTTGTTAGTGTGGCAAGGTTTGGTTTTTACAAAAGAGCACCTTCATCGGTTCCTCTCTGTGCAATGCAAGGGAAGACTTGAGCCTTGGTGCTAATTTTCATTCCTATTAAAAGATGCAGACATCTTTCCTGGCTTTTGAGCAAAGAACAGTGTTCTAAGCTGGATCTGTCTGAAAGGAAGGGAAATGCATGCATGGAGCAGTGTCTTGCTAGGTATCTTGCCTACCAAGTCCATTATTTTCTGTCAGTGTTCCACAGTGGTACCAATATTGGTCTGCTTGATCCATGGCAGATGCCATGCACTGACAAAGCCAATGGGGCAGCTAATGTTTTAGCTGATGTATTTTTGGTTTCGTATACTTTTCCAAAGGTAATGCTTTGTTATTGAGGGCTCTTGTCTAAAGCTATGAACACTTGAGCCTGATGGCATGAGACTGCAGAAATATTTAATCACAGTTTACATCTTCTATCAGATTTTCTTCTAGAACGGAGGATCTGACGATGAAGGACTAAGCCTAAGGTTCCTCTTTGACTGTTCCACCTCAGTGTTGCCCACAGCAAATGCTAGAGCTGTTGTATTTAAGACACAACAGCCTCTCTAACAAAATGGATGCATATGATTTTTTTCATACTTGTTCTATTGTCCGTATACCACCAGCAGATGGAAGCTACACAACAGAGAAAAATGGTTACTTTCAGAGCTGTGGGAGCACCAAAATAATAAAAGTACCAGTAATAAGGCTTTCCTTTTTTAATTTGCTACATAGAGAAGACATGAAAATTAATTTGAAAGCCCCTAATGGCTCTCTCAGGGCCAGATGCTGTAAAGGAGCCAAGCATTAGATAACAGAAACCAATCAGTTTGTAGTGCAAGTGTAGCTGTTCTAGGTGCCCCTTGCTATCCTCTGTTAGATCCTTTACAACACACATTTGGTAGGTATGAAATTTCAGGTATGTTGTGTGGGACAAACCTTCCCACAGTCACCAAGTAACTTGCAATTGTAATTGCAGTGTGTTGTTTTCTTAGACACCCCTTACTGCAGATTTTTAAACCTGGTGGTAACTTCACCTTATTTAGGCTCCTTAATTTCTGCAGTGCATGACAAATACGCTGAGTGTTGCAATTAAATGCTCTCAAGTGATGAAAGAGGAGAGGAAATAGTTGCTTTACGCAGCAAGTGTAATAAATGAAGTCATAGCCAGAACCCAAATGTGATTTCCTGTAATGCAAGACACTGGAAGCTGTCACAGTTTCTTCAGACAATACTTCTCCACTATTTGTCTGGAGGTGAAGATGCAGCCAGAGGACATCAACCCTAGTATGTTCAAAGGAGCCCTCATCAGCAAGTCTGCTGCCCCATTCCTCCTACTGGATACCAGGAAGTGCAAAACATTACAAGGCCTGGAATTCCCGGGAGTGCCAAAACATTTCTTACCTTTAGAGCCCATACGCTAGAGGCAAAGTCCAGGTTTGCCTCTGGTTCAAACACCACTGCAGTTAAACTCTAAATCATTCCAAACTGTGGGTTTGAGCCAGGTCTCAGATAAAGCCTATTGGCTCTTATCAAGTGTCATAATTAAACCCCAACCTATTCAAGCCCTGCAGATTTTCAGTTCTGCCCTCTCCCATGTATTTGGTTCCAGTAAGGTATTATTCAGGCAGCAGTGTTTGTTTCACAACTAATCTGTCATGCTAAGAGTGTGAGAAATACCTTTGTTCCCATAATTTGTTTTCAAGATTGCCTGTGTCAGTCAGTGATCCTCCTGCAGTTTTCCTTTCCTTCCAAAGGGCCAACTTTTGTTTCAGTTTCATTCTTTTGTAACCGAATAGATTTCAGGGGAGATCAAATCAGAGGAGAATTTGGCTTCAGCCATTTTTGTTGCATTAGCTTGAGTGTCTCCTTTAAAACAGAATAAGTCCTTTGAAGCAGATTTCCCATTAGATGAGAAACAGAATATTTTCCAATATTTCCAGCCCAAACTGCACCTAGTCTTTTTTTTTTTTGTTTGTTTTTCCTTTCCTTTGCGAACTGACAGGTAGGAATTTGCTTAATCCTTTTTTACTTTCCAGACAGCAGTATTTACCACAGATCATCAATAATTCAGAAACTGCATTGAATTCCACAGTGCAAACCTAAAAATCTTTCATGCTGTGACATGGAAAAATTGATTTGTTCTGGAATTCTCTAGCTGCCTTTTGACCTGCTGTCCTTCAGGCAAACATTCACTTGGGATGACGATGATATGGATTTTAAACTGGCCAGCAGTGATTTGCACACATACTTTCACTGCTTTGAGCTGAATTCACAATACAACCTGTAACGAAGTCAGCACAGGCAACTTTGCTGTCTTAAAGCAATAGCTATGCACCAGAATTAACAAGCAACAATTTCAAGCAGTCATAAGTCTCTTCCTGTCCTGGGATAAATCATTCTCAGAAAACAGGCAGTAGCTCATTAACACAATACTCCTTCTAAGCATTTTGATTTTAATACAGTGATTTATAACTGGAAGCACTTACTGTTATGGCCTGGAATCTTTCTTTCAGCAGTTCGGCTTCCTCCATTCTAGAAATCAAAAACAGACAAGCAGTGAAGGAAAACAGGCTGAGACCATAAGCAAAAGCCTCCTGGTGGGGCTATGAAGAAGCTGAGGTGATTTGATCCAATTCCAGAGCTGAGAGCAGGCAGAATTTTTCACTTGTCAGGAGAGTCCCTGCACAGATGAGCAGATCAGACCAGACAGACACATGCAATGAGGGTGTGTAGAAGAGGCAGACGTGGAGAGTGCTGGCATGAGCTGACTGACAAGTTGGAACAGTGGAGCACAAGCCCTTTTCCTTCAGAAGCTGCCAACTCTTTGTTTTAATGTGCTCAGTTAGCGTGCCACTGCTGCTTTAACTGTTACATGCCCAGAATTGAATCTTCCAGCACCACAGTAGAAATAAACTTTTAATTACGTTCCTATTTCTCTTTCTTTCCTTTGTGTATTCTTCTGGTGATTTTCAACTTTTTAAGTACTCCTTTTTCTCATGAAAGTTATTTCACCCTGTGTGTATTAACGTGTTGTAATGTTAGCCCTGTAGATGGCATGGGTTTCATTGAGATGGCAGTTTTAATTCAGTTTCCTAGATGAAGCTGTATTCACAGCTGAAGGAACGTTTTAGAACTGCTAACCTAAAGTAAAATAAGCTCTTAGCAATAAGGTCTGTCATTGAATGCAAGTGTTAATCTGTGCAATTACTGGTCAGCTATCTAGGACTTGGGGGAAGCTTTGCCTAAGTAAGGATTTCGGGATCATCATTTCAGTGTTACCAAGATGCATCTGAAATGCCAGTGGCTCTCCTGCTGAATTTGAATTTCCATTCAGCTGACTTGGAGGGGTTTTTTTGCTGTGGACTTTTGCTGAAATCAGCACTGTGCTCCTTAAGGGCTCGTGTATATTTTGACCTTTCCAATTACATGAGTGGGAGTCAGCCTTCAAAAATCCATCTGGGAAACCTGCAAAACAAGTGGAACTGCCTCTAGTAAAATCCAGTTGTGGAAAAAATTCCAAGTAAGATAAAGCTGAATGCAAATAGCAGAAATATGTAATGTGAATCTGGAATTCCTTTGTGTTACCCTTGGTATCATGTAACTCAAGTCTTTGTAAGGACACCAACAGGATAGTCAGTCAGCATGTTTGGTTTTTCTCCTGCTAATTCATTGAGATGTCTAAACTCAGCAACATTTGGTAAGGGGTGTTACTTTACATGTCATTAGTGACCTAAACCTTGGTGGCAAATCAGGGTCATTACTAGCAAATTCTAAGACACTGCAGAACTTGACATTTGGTGGTGAAGTTCCACCCTCATCATTCAATAGGAATCAATATTTCATTTCAGTTTTCACCTTTGGAACCGGATGACCTTAAGGTCCTTTCCAACCCAAACCATTCTAGGATTCTAGTATGTCATTGTTCATCTGTATACACAAGCAGACTATCCCCCTCCACACTGGGATTAAGGACGCATTAACATTTTGTTCCTACTGTGATCCACCCTGAGGTTTTGTTCAAACTTGCAAAGACCCCATTTTATTTTCCAATGAATATTTATAGTTTAAATACTAATATATGCCTCATTTGGTCAGCACCCAAAATTAAAAGCAATACCACATAAATGCAAATATGAAGTTCAAAGGCAAGGGTACTGAGGTCTATCAAGAAGCTGATTGCATGGGAATTGCAATGTCTTCAGTTTATGGGTTTGAGAATAAGTTCAACCACAGCACTGAATTAAATAAATAGATTCTTGCTGCAGGGAGACAGTCTTTCTGTTTAATATTTTATAAGTCAGTATAGCCTGCCTTATTGCATTTTTGACACACACACACCCCAACCCCCCAAAAACCCCCAAATTTTTTTCATCTTTGTTTTCAGTGAAGTTACTCTTAAAATTTAAGGGTGTCTGTGGACTTCAAAATGCTTAAAAGTACTTAAAGCAGCAAAGGATTACATCAGAAATAAGGAAGTCTGTTTTGGGTCAGAATCTGTCCTCTGGTATATATAGGATTCCATTCTCAATGAGTGAAATGAGATCAGTATTTCAAGTTGAAAATAGAATCAATGGGATTGCATCGCCTTGAATTTTTATGATCTCAAATGTTTTCCTAACTTTGTGCTCCACAGTGATTCAAACGCTTTTACAAACCTTACTGTGGATGTTATATTCTCACAGACCCAAGAAGCAGTTATTGTACCTTTCCCGAACCTAAACCCCCAGACAGTTTCTGCAACGTTGCTTACCTTTTTAAGTGGCCATTATTAAGGAAGGTATTTAAAGCCCATTTTAAATTGTTTAAATCATACATATCCCCTTGCTCGGCAGGATTTGCTGTTCGCTCAGTAGGTTGTTTTGCAGTTCTCTTAATCCTATTTTAAATGGGATTTACGTGCAAGAGAAGAAATGGACCAGCTGTCATTTTGTCTGCCCCTTAAGCATGGAGTATCTGCAGTGTTACGGGTTAGATCAGTGAATCTGAGCAGCTGTGTTTTCAGTCTGCAGGATTCTTAGAACAAGGGTTTCCAGAACTTTATGCCTGGCAGAAATATAACCAGGAAGCTACCTCCCTATTCTGCGAGTTGAAGAAAAAAACCCAAACCTAAAATACTTTTGGGAGAACAAGGTGTTAGCCTGTGTTTCTGTAATGGGCAACTGTGTCTCTTTCGGTAGAACAGATTCTCTGAGTTATGCAGCAGAAACTGTTTGTGGTATCACAAGATGAATCAGACAGGTTGGATTCTTTTTGGCTTCACTTCTTCCTTTGTTCATTTCCATTTTGCACCGGGTGCCTAATGTAGGAGTAATAACGAGAATCTAAAGCACAAGTTGTGTTCTGAACTCTTACAGAAAAGTGGGTGGGAATTCAGAAGAAGGCAATATCCTGAAACAGAACCTAGAAGGAAGACCACAGAAGTGCTTTCACAGCTGGAAATGCAAATCCCTTTGTCCATTTCCAGAGCAAAGTCTTAGTATTGGCATCAAGAACCGTAGGGGCTGTCCCTGGCCCTCCTCTACAAACAGAGCCATCCTCAGTTCTACTCTGACTCATTTCACTGGGATTTCTTTTGAAATAAACCATTAACTTAAGGTAATACATGTACGGTGAGTTAGAGATTGTTGTACTAGCAAACAGTTGCTTCTGAGAAGAAACATCTCATTAAAGGTAAGGAGCATGAAGCTTTCACTTCTCAGAAAAGTGAGTTTGAAGTGGATGGAGTTGGCCAGATTGTGATCAGTTGAAAATATGGCCTATACTTTCTGGAAAGGGTGGTTACCGTGTTCATGAATCACTTCTGTGAGCATCTTAAGTCTGGTTATTTCCCTTTGTGATGAGCTGCCTTCTCTAACTCTGTTTGAATCAGGGGAAGGGTGGTTTGGATTTGGTATCAAAGCAGATCGTATGTTCTTACAGTGAGTAAATGTACTGCCACTGTGCATCTGTCTGCATGTAGCCTTTGAATCTTTGACAGTGGAGGAATGATGAGGAGAGAAATTCTGTTGAAGTCCCCTCACTAACAATGTCTATTGCAGCATCCTGACAATTGAGAGGTCTTATGCCTGGGATACCTCAACTGACTGAGAAATGGTCTCTTCTCCAACCAGAACCGAGGTTTTGAATTTTCAAGAGGAAAAATAAACCAAAAAGAATAGAAATTTGAAGATCTAACTCCTTCTGTTTATTCCAGGTGAAATTCACACAAATAGACAACTAACGCCTTAGGGCAGTTGCTCGCCCAAATTTTTTTGGAGACTTTCTCTTTAGCTGTATGTTATTTCCCCAAAGAAACAAGGTTTGTCTGTCTCAAAGGTTGGTTTCAAAGACCATTCCATCATTAATCTGCAAAGTACTTCCAGCCGTTTCAGTCAACAGTGCATTAATGCTGCTCAATAAGCAGCAAACAGCTTTTGGCTGGGCAAAGAACTCTTCTGGGATTCATCGTGGGGCATTTTTTGGTGTCTTTCCCTAAAAAGCTTCAGACAGTTACACTTCTCAGTGACAGAAAACTTAGCCCTCAGTAAATAGAAGACTTGAAGTCCAGGGGAAGACTAGCAGTCAGAAGCAGCTCCTATCACATGGAATTTGTTTTACTTTGACCTCATTTTTTTCATATTATAACTGACATTTTCATGTATCCATCAAGTCGTAAATTCTAAGCTAAACTGGAAGGTGTTTCACAAAAAATGTATGTTGATAATGGGAGAAAGAGGATTTAAAGTGAGGATAACCTAGAGAGACAAAGTTGAAGCAACTATCCCCAGAATATTATTTTTTATACATAAATATAAAATGTATACAATATTTATACATATGTATAATACCTAATAATATATAATGCAAATATAGATAAAGTTACTAGTAATTAGTAAAGGTATTGGGTGTCTTTGTGGGTACCTGTTCATGTTTAAATATTGCATCTAGGGATACAAGTAGCTACCAGACTAGTTGTGCGTAGCATGTCTTTGGGAGACTTCTGCAGCTTATTTTCCTTCCATGGCTCATACATCTACAGCTGTATAGCCTCTCAGTTTCTGTTGGTCACCAAATCTTTAATCTAATGATGAGAGTCTAATGGCATGTGGGATTGCCTGACCGCTATCAGCTGAATACAATTTGAGATGCTTTCTGTTATAGTTTAGTCAGAGTCCAGATTGTATGAAACCAGTATGCCTAAAGATGAAAAGTCGTAGGGAAAGGAGAAGCCACATGTTCCTCCATCAATTATACAATATTGGAAATTATTAAAAAAAGGTGTATTTTTAGGCTCTTAGAGGAAGTTCCTAACAAAATCCCTGCCACCTCTCAGCTGGGATTCACATTCTGTCTGAAGGCCAGGTCTGGAGAATTAACTTGCTCCTAAGCAGGTCCTTTAACATAATGAATTTACTGTGTCCTGTCACTGAAACAAAACATCCAGGTATCTGTTTTATACAGTTTTATGAAGCTAAATTCTATATTCTTTACTAGTTTGAGTAGAGGCACACCCTGGGAGGAAAAAAAAACTTGGACTATTATGTTTCTGTTGGTACAACTCCCTTCCTGTTGCTATTCATAACCATGAATATATTAAGTCTTCAAAATCAAACTAAAGGAAGAGACATTGGTTGTTGCCTTCAATTGTTCTTAAAACATCATTTTAATAGTATTTTATAATAAATCTAATGGTCAGATATCTTTCAATATTGTAGAAAACCTTCTGTTCCGTGGTAAGTGTGTGTCCTATGTGTACAGTGGAGCTATAAACGCTAAAAT